TTGGTGTTCAGTATCTGAAACTAATGGCAGGTGGTGATATTTTACATGTTAATGCCTTGTTTTATTTTGGAATGATCTTAACTTTTTCATATATTAAAAAATGTCCTGAATATTTTTTCTGGATTAATAAGTCATTGTATGTAGTATATTCTTTGAAAAAAAACATTAGAAAATATAAAAAAAACATAAAAGTACATGTAAAGAGATATTATTCCTTGAATTTCATTATTTTACAAATCAATCATTTTATACCCTGATTCAAAGTCCTATGGTAGATGAAGCTCCCTTTTAAGAAGCAAAATCATACCATTGGAAAGCATATACAATACTACACAAGAAAATTCTTTATTTGCCTCTCAAATTACTAAAATGTCATGTCTCAATTTAATTTTGAAGATAGCATAATTGTAGCTTTAGATAAGAATTTAGTGGGATTCTAAGAACAATTTGGTAATCAATCTTAGTTATGTAAACTTTCTGTGAATGTATACCATCCCTATTTAATTTAATGATTTGGTTCAATCCCTTGGAGAGAGTCTCCAAGTATTAGCAGGATTTGTGACTTCTCAAAACTTTGTGAAAACTTTCCAAAATTCACAAAAAGCGCGAAATACAGTAGTAGGAAGAGAAAATAACCAGAGGTACAGTAAATAGAAAATGGGGTTAAAGCGCAATATAATGAACTTCACTTTGTCAAAATTAACTTTTGATATTAGGAGCAGAGACCATCCCTTATCCTGTTATCTTTTGACCCCAGTAGCCTGAATTTCAGGTGATTAGGCTGAACAAAGCAATCTGTTATTCCAAAACATGAGTCAGCTTAATAGGATCCATTTCCTAGTTTCAATTTAAAACCCCACCTAGATGTTTTAATTTTACTTCCTAATTGGAGTTTTTAATTAAAAATGAAGTATATTTTAAAAACTTGAATTTGTTAGTTATTGAAGCTTTAAAAGTTTAAAATCAGGGGTTTGATTTGATACTTTTTATAGAGTACTTCATGATAATAATTTGGGGTCATTGTAACTTACTATGTGTGTACATACTATTATACTTCTTTGCAGATGCTTGTAAAAGTAAATTCGTGTTTACAGAAGGATATTTAGTTATCTTTTGTCATTAGCCTTTATTCATATTTGAAACTTTTGAAATGTAAAATGGTTTCTTTTATATACTTGTGGAGAGTTTGAGTTTGAATATTTTAACCTGTTGAATGCCTAGATTGATATATCAGTCACAGAGTTTATAACTACAATGGCTCCAACTTTGACAAATTTCTTGGAATTTACACAAATTAGGCCCATGGCCAGACATCTAACCCCCCCCCCCCCCCCCCCACCGGAACCAGCCCACCACTTTCTGCTCTTATGGCATGTCTTTTTTCTAAATACTCCAGTAGTTCTAACTTTGTTTTCGGATTTTCTCTCAATTTTTAAGCTTATCTAGCCAAAAGATTTAAAAGGAGGCATCGAGTGAATTTGGACATTTTTCATCTTAAATCTTCAATAATTAAGTTATATTTGATTATTTCTCAATTTGGAATTGTTAGAGAAACATTAGCTTGCTTTCTGAAAAGAATGCTTACAACATAATTCAAACCATATATTATACCATCTGAATGTGGAACATAAATATCCCTATTTTATGGTCGTAGTATTACTAATTTAAATAACAAATAATGTTTATTTAAGACCACAAAGACATGTATTGTTGTTATTCAGAAAAAAACTTGTTTGTTTGTTTGTTCTTTGTGGTTGTTGATTGGATTTCAAATACCTGAAAAATATCCTTATTACAACAAGTTCTTATAAGGAAGTGTTTATGGTACGTTCACACCAACGGCGCTTTGATGGCGCTTTAAAGCGGCTTGTAAAGCGGCACCAAAGCGTAACAAAGCTTAATTAAAGCGTCGGGGTCGTAATAGGTCGTAGAAAAGCTCGGGAGTAAAGCGGGATATTCGGCAAGAGCGCTAAAAAATTTAAACTGTTTAAGCGTTCGCACCAACGGCGCTTTGATGGCGCTTTAAAGCGGATTGTAAAGCGGCACCAAAGCGTAACAAAGCTTGATTAAAGCGTCGGGATCGTAATAGGTCGTAGAAAAGTTCGGAGTAAAGCGGGATATTCGGCAAGAGCGCCAAAAAATGTTAAACTGTTTAAACATTTTGGGCGCTCTGTTACGAATTGATTGAAGCGCCGAGAGCGTATCAAAGCTTAACAAACCGTAACAAAGCTCAACAAAGCTTGACTCAAAGCGTAGGAAAGCTTAACACAGCTTGGTTCAAAGCGGGGACCCCAGTCTATTCACGGTCTGTTACCACTTGACACGCTTCGTTAAGATGTCTCAAGATTTGCTACGATCTGGCATGAAGATCTGACACGAGGTCAGACGCTTTCATCAATATCTGACACTCTTTGTTACACTTTCCTGAGGGACTCTCAAGCTTTCCAACGAATTGAGACACTTTAATCAAGGATTGAAACGCTTTGCTAGGCTTTGTTACGCTTGAAAGTTTTCACACGCTATATCACGCCGTGCGACAAACGTCATGTCTTCTTCAGATAGGTCATGCTCTGGTCCATCTGGAATTTCTGGATCTCGTTGTTCTGCCATCGTGTTCTCGAGTCAAAGATGCAATGGTTTTATGGATCTACTGCATCTTTCTATAGTCATTGGATCAAAAGCGGCATGGAATCGGCGATCTCGACATTTTCCAATGCGTGACAGAGCTTAACAGAGCGTAACAATGCACAACAGAGTTTTGCAATCGTATCAGAGCCTGATTTAAAGCGTCATAATCGCATCAAAGCGTAATAATGCTTATCAAAGCTTTTCAAAGCGTGATTTCAAGCGTAACAAAGCCTGATCAAAGCGGGATCAAAGCGTGAGGAACCTTTTAGAGCTATTTTAAGCTTTCCTACGCTTTGGATCAAGTTTTTCTGAGCTTTGTTACGGTTTGTTAAGCTTTGATACGCTCTCGGCGCTTAATCGATTCGTAACAGAGCGCCCAAAATTTTTTAAGAGTTTAAAATTTTTTGGCGCTCTTGCCGAATATCCCGTTTTACTCTGAGCTTTTCTACGACCTATTACGACCCCGACGCTTTAATCAAACTTTGTTACGCTTTGGTGCCGCTTTACAAGCCGCTTTAAAGCGCCATCAAAGCGCCGTTGGTATGAAGAAAAATGACAAAAATGACGGCGCTTTGCTCGCCGATTTAAAGCGTGGCATTCGCCGTTGGTGTGAACGTACCTTTAGAGTCGACAACAAAATGAATCATTTTTAAATGTCAAAGACCTTCAGTTCAAATACAACATGCTTTCGCAATTTTCATTAACATGTGGAGTCACACACACTTATAAATCATTCTAAACTATATATAAACTTACAAAAGTCCATACGGTTTAAAAATCAAGATTTTTGTAGTTTATGAATAACATGTTTTGCATCAGTTGTTCCATTCAAGATGTTGCAACTTTTTTAAACAGCTCAACACATATATAATGAAAATGAGATTATTATTTTATACATCATCAATTCTAAACAATTCAGAATAAAACTTGGATTGAAGTCAATTAACATCAAATTACTTAGCCAAAGTATAAATATATTAATTAATATTGTTTACTTTCCCTGTACACGATTGTACTTATTCATTCCCCTTCCTCAATTTATCCACCTTTAGGCCAAAATATATAAGTAAATTGTTTAACATTTTCCTTTTTACACTTTTTTAGCATTGTAGTATTAGCACGACTGGGCAACTAGCAATCAATTCAATGGTATCTTTAGCCACTCCTTGTTTTATTGAAGTTCTTATATCCCTCCTACTACTACACAGAAGATAAAGAGGGGAGGGGGGGGTCCAAAATTTGAAGCAAGACTTATCGAAATTGGCTGTATAGTTCAAAGGAATTTTGCAACAATTTTCAATCATGTTCAAATATTTTAATTCAAATAAATTTAGAATAGCATTCACTTTGTCAATTTCCTTGTGTGTGTTCTAATGGTTCCCTTCTGTTTTCATGTACAGTAAAACCCGTGAAGTGGAATACCTACAAGTGAACCCCTCTGTTAGTGGAACACTTCAGAATCCAAAATTGACTATGTTAATAAACCTCTATAAGTAGAACACTCTCCAAGTAGAACAGTTTTTAGGAGTACCAAATGTGTTTCATTTAGACAGATTTCACTCTCTGTACAGGTCCATAGCCAGGGGGGGGGGGGTTCGCAGGGTTCGGGCGAACTTCCCCCCCTGGCCAAAAATTCTTTCAAAATCATGCAGTTTTTCACCATTTTGAGCCCTTCTCAAGTGATTTTAGCCATATTTGGGCCAAATTTGTCAAATGTGAACCCCCCTGGAAATTTTTGAAAACTGAACCCCCCTTGGCAAATCCTGGCTATTGGCCTGCTGTATATAGTACTATATAATCTAATGTCTACAAATGTAAATGTAAGTGAATAAGCACTTAAATGATTAGATTATGTTTGATAAATTGATCACTTTCAATAGATCTAGACAGGCATAATTGGGAACCGAAAGTGATGGCAACCTACACTCTTTAATCCAATTAAGATACTTCCTGATTCAAGGCTAGAGTATATGTATTCAAATTATGTGTTAAACCATCTTTGGTCCAGTATTTCAATTCTTTCAGAGCTCAGCGAAGCATGATCGTGAAGGATAGTGTAAATGTTTTTAAAGTTTTACATGATGAGCATGCAATGCCAGTAAATATCTATTTTTGCCCCACTTTCGAAAAATAGTCATGTGATATTGCTGTTAGAAATTCTCAAAAAGCTGAAATTGGTTTATTTTCTATGTTATTTTATTTGTCTATCGATATAATATGGTATGAGAGATTTATGGAGATAGATCCCCGCAGCTTAGAATAACAACTTGGTTTCCTTTTTGGAATTGGTATAATTTGGTCAAAAACAAAAACATAGCCCCAAAAACTTTTAGAAACCTATTAATTTATGATTTTCCTTTGTTGTTTTTCAGCGAGAATCAGCCAAATTTCTGAAAATTCTGTCTTCCATTTTGACTCTCCACAAAGTTCGCCGGGCACTATCAGGAAGTCAATAGATGGCACTGAATGCATACCTGAAGATTCAGAGACAAATGGCGATGTGAGTATCAAAGTCAGATATGTAATTTACACAAAATATGTTTTGAAAATATATGTTATGGCTCAATCTCCATTGATTAAATGACACATTGAAGGCAAACCTGAGGTGCAATCTTCCTCCAAAAAAGGTCAAAAATTGATTTTTCTTCTCAAAATAATGGAAAATATTTCAAATTATAAACCATAGCTCAATAAAGTGTAGAATTTGGTAAATCCTAACTTTGTGATACAGTAGTAGTGTAGCAATCAGATCCAAAATAAACGTTTATAAAATGTATTTTAATTTGCCTATAGGTGGAGTGGTCTGAGGCAGACTTAGAGAAATTGCGGATGCGTAAATGGGTTGTGACGGGAATTTTAGACAGTGAGAACATCTACATCGACTGTCTTAGTATTTTGGACCAGGTAGGATAGAACCACATTAACATCACAAATGTTATTTTTTTAAATAAGAATAGGGAACACTGGCATTATATGAGGCAAACTTAAAAAGACAGTGGCATTATGTGAGGCAAATTTAAAAAGACACTGGCATTGTTAGGCAAAATTAAAAAGACACTGGCATTATGTGAGGCAAAATTAAACAGTTGTACTTTGTGAGGCAGACTTTAGCAGGAGAGGCCAAAAAGAATATAATATTACTACCGGACATTTTCATGGTTTCAGTTCAAAGATGGTCTAGAAAATTATGTTTTCTGCAAACTTTTTGCAATCCAGTAGTTTCACTTCACTAGCCTCATAGCTCAAGTTATTTCTTTAAAGGCCCCCTTTAAATATTTGAAAGTACAAATGAATATTCGCATTGGGCTGTTAAGACTTTTTTGTCCTTATGGAACATATGTTTAACATATTAATTGATCTGTTTTAGTACATGAAGAACCTTGAAGCAGCAGCAAGGACTACAAAGCCTATGATCTCTGAAGAAGAAATTAGCATAATCTTCCACAAGATCCCAGAACTCTTCAAAAGTCATAAGGCATTTGTTGAAGATTTAGAACCAAGAGTAGAAAACTGGTCTGACTCTCAGAAAGTTGGTGAAGTTTTCAAAGTTGCGGTATGTGTTTCAGATTTTTACACCCTGTATACAATGTTCCGTCATGATTCATCAGTCTTGTTACACCCTGTATACCCTGTATGTTATATCATACTATATCAGTTGTGTTTTATTATATTATATTATGTATTAATTATATTGATGAAAAACTAAATAAATATTATATTATATAGGCCGTTCAATAAGTAATGACACTAAGGCTGTCATTTTGAGAGATTACCACCAATATAATATTTACAGTTTTTATGACCTCAACACTCTATTCCAGATCTAAAGTTATGATATAGAGTTTCATTACTCCCTGTATTCCAGGCTATATCAATCTATTACAATACGTTAATTTTTACTATCTGTACACTCTAGGCCAATATGTTATGATATATCATGTTTTATGACACCCTGTATACTATATTCCAGGCTGTCTACCTAAAGCAGGTCTATGGTGATTACCTGAAGAATTACCAGAAAGCCTTATCAACCATGAAGAAATGCTGCCAAGAAAACCAGGAATTTCAAAATCTTATCAAGGTAAAGAATATAAGGATATATTACGGCAACAATAAATCATAAAATAAAATAAATGTTATCAATTTCAAACTAAATAAATAGAGTTGCATTTTTATGAATTGAAGCATAGTTCATCTATTTTGGACTAAGTAGAATTTAGCCACATAGAAAATATAATTTTTATTTTTTAAGATTATGATTATTCTCTAAATTGAAATATGTAACAGCAACACTAGACTCTTATATAAGTGTAATTAAGCAGATAAATTTAAATGTTTTTTTTTTCATTTCAGGAAATCAAATTGAAAGGAGTAGCAGAATCAGCTAGCCTAGAAGGTATGTGTGTCTTTGATTTCTATTAAAATTAGTAAACTGTTCTGGTAGAATTAATAAATATGCAAGAACAAATACTAAAAGAATAGGTCAACAGAAATATAAGAAATATTGTAGATTATGGAGTAGTGCAATGGAATCAGACAATGCTTTGATAAGGGGTCTTTTTAACTAGAAAATAGAGTGGAAAATAGTGGTATCAGCATGCAAAGGTAAAAAGTAAACATGTATGTGTGTAATGGTTTTGGGTAGAACACATTTAGGGGGAAATACATACTATACTGAGTAAACTTTAATTGGCTATGTCTCTCCCATGTCAATGTCCATGATGAAAAAGTGTTATATGTAAATGTGTTATTTTGTTTTAGAACTCTTACACAAACCTGTTGTTAGGGTACAGCGGAATACATTAGTGCTTCATGTAAGTTCAAAATAGTGTGAATTGTTTAACAAAGCATATTATAAGCATTGAAAAAGAATTAGTTTTGTGGAGAATGTGACGCCATCTTTTAAAATTGCAATAATGAATATCAAAATGGGAAACCTAAAATCATTTGAAAGGTAAAATCCCGCAGGGAGATTTTGAATGACCCATAAGGCATGCACTTGCTTACAAATAATATTGTATATTTAAGAGATATTTTCTATTTTCCAAGATCTGACGCCATCATTTAAAATTGTAATAATGAATATCAAAATGTAAAACCTAAAATCATTTGAAGGCTAAAATCCCAGACCAGGGATATTTTGAATGACTCATAAGGCATGCACCTGCATACAAATAATATTAAAGAGATATTTTCTCTGTTTCAGGATCTGATAAGGTGTACACCAACCAATCATCCAGATCATATGGTGCTACAAAAGGCGTTAAAATTGACACAATATTTCTTGGAGAATTTAGAGGATCCTATGGAGTTGGAAAAGGTAAGCATTTTAGTGTTGCATACAAAGTGGGAAGAGTGCTTATTTGCAAGGCAGCTCAGTCAGAAACTTTACAAAATCTTAATGGTTTTTCTGGCTTATATAAGGGACTGTAATATTGCCCCCATTAATTTGTATTTTCTTTTCTATAGTTTTTCTACATAAAACTTTCCAAGTTATATGCATAAAAGTGTTAATTTAAACATCATTAACAGATGTGTATCCCCCTTAAAATGGACCACATGAAAAGACACAGACTCTGTTAATTTGAATTAGGATTGTTTAAATAACATACAATAACCAAGGCATTAACTTGCTACACTAATATATAATATAACGTGTGTTTCATTTACAGAATGATGCAGTCAGTTACCTGGTGAAAGACAGTTTTATCGTTGAGCAAACTCAAGGTCATCGCAAGTTGCGTCACGTCTTCTTGTTTAATGATGTCATCGTTTGTACCAAACAGAAGTCTACAGGAGGGTGAGTTTTCTGAGGAAATGGAATGTGATTGTGTTTAATGTAGAGCTCAAGATGATTTTTAAAATGCTCCTTGAGAAATGTGCATCTGCAAGGCAAACGCATATACAGTGAACTCGAACTTCACAGGGACTGGCTAAAAGCATTTGGATTATATAGTGCTCATATTTCAAGGTGTTTTGTTTGCAGGATGAAGTATTTTGAAAAGGTTTTGACACATTATTCATTAATATTTCTGGCATTGGGTACAAGCTTTAATGCCACCAAAATGATGAAAAAATATTTAGCCAACAATATTTGAAGTATGTGAACTGTACGTGTGTATTTTATTACAGGAAAAAGTACAATGCAGATTGTAAGTGGTACATTGCCCTATCTGAAGTGACAGTATTGGAGAACAAGACTGATGAGGTCATAGAGAAGTTGCCTAGCGACTCTAAGAAAACAGACATAGAGACACTCAAAGCCAATGTAAGCCAACTTAAGAAAGAACTGCGGAGGGAAGCTCGACGACATAATGGATCTGAGAAAGACAGAGTAAGATATTTTATTAGATATTATAGTATTTACTATATATATTATTTAGAGTTATAGATATTGATGTACTGAAGGAAAATAAACCCCATCAAATGAGAATGAAATGTTTTTGTTTGTTTTTGTTTCTTAAATGATCTGTACAATACAACACATGTAGGGTTGAACAACATTTTTTACAGTCCCTATTGAAAATGTTCTATTTCCTTATTCTATTGTCGTATAGAGCAGTCCAAGGTCATGGTCATTTAGCACTAAGGGCAACATTCGCAATATTGAAAAGATCCGTAAGAAACTTGCAGAACAAGAGGCCATGCTAGTGCTAATGTCACCCAATCTGATGTTTAAACTGCACCACAAGGCCCAGGATAAGACTTATACATTCCTTATGTCTTCTAACTATGAACGAGATGAATGGAAGGAGTCAATAAAGGCATTACAAGCAAAAGGTATTATTTCAAATTCAGTATATGGCCAAAACATCAGTATTAACGTTTAATTGCACAAGTCTGGGGAATGACTTGATTGTAATTTCCATAAAATATACCAGATAAAAGTTTCAGGCATTCCATTTTATCAATTTTTTAGGTATCAGATTATGAATTTTATGGCATATATAGGAACTACATGTAATACCTGTTTCTTTTTTCAGTCCACACTACCCCCAAATTCACCTCGTATGAACTGCAAACATTGGTGAACTCCATAAGTAAGGTATGTGTCCCTTTTATGAATGAATAATACAATTTTTATCCATTTAAAGATATTTTGGGAACATAGAGAATGACTCCATCCATCTGTTAAGGTATTATTACTCAAATACTATCTAACCTTATATTGCACTGTCAGAATATATCACATGGTGTGAAAATTCAAGATATGTATATGTACAGCACATGGAAAATATATCACTAGAACTTCCACCGTCATTAAATTATTTTTGCAGGTGCCAAAGATCAATAATGCTGGCTCATTTCTCATGAAAGATGGTAAGTTAATAACTGTTATACTAGGATTTATGACACCAACAAATACTGTATTCAGAAACATTGTGTCTGTATTATTAATCATTGAATCCTAAACACATTAAGAATATATATGCATGTATGATCAGTGTATGGATGAGAACCACAGTCACCTTGATTATATGCCCCCATTTGTCTGACCTCTAAATGTTGAACCCTTGTTAGCATTTTCATGTTATTTGTAGTATATTATAAAACACACTTGGATAGGCTAGTTGAAATATTAATTCAGGATCTTCCGTAAAAGTGGTTTCATTTGTGAAACATGAAAACATGAAAATAAGACACACACTCTGTATGTGTTTTTATTATGTTACCACCACAGTTTGGCAGTTTGTGTTTGGTGTCTGGTGTTTGACATCTGTAACAAATGGCAGGTGGTGACATTTTGCATGTAAATGCCTTGTAACTTTTGTTACATGTCTAGATTATTTTAATATAAAATAGATGTTACTTAGTTTAAATGTTATATTCTCCTTTTTTTGCAATACATGCACCTAATATTCAGGTACCCTTGTCTTACATTGTAATGTATTGTATGACATGTATTTGTATTGTATGTAATGTATTTGTATTGTATGTAATGTTTTTGTTTAACCACCAATGAAAGTGAGCAAATGTACCTCAAGGGTATCCCCTATACACCATCTGAACCACCGTGCTAATACCAGTTCTATCGCAAACATTTTCATCTGAACCATAGGTTACTAAAATACTCAGTGCTTTTAATGACTATAGTCATTGTATTGAGTTAATTGAATACATGAAAATATACATAACTCATTTTTTTAAAGGAAACAGAAGTTTTGAGGGTAATTTTTTCTTCATCACGCTCAAGCTATATATGTAAAAATACTGATATGCATATGAAATTGCCTCCGTTTGCTAATGTTTGATTAACATTTACTAAATACACTGTAATAGGCGGGTAAAGCTACATGAGAATTTGGCCATGAGCCTGAACTTCATGGTTCTCGAAGCAGGCTGGTCGCCAGGGGGGTTGACATGTCCAAAAATTCTTTCAAAATCATGTAATTTTCAACTTTCTGAGTGCACTTTCAAGTGATTTTGGGCCAAAGTTGTCTTATTCTAACCCCCCTGGGTGTTTTTGAAAAGTTAACCCCTCTTGGCAAAAGCTGGCTACGAGCTTGCTAGAGAGTTAAGTCCTCTCCTTCATAGTGTTAATCTGCCTGGTTTAGTATAAAGGTATAAGGAAATTAGTTGTATTTAGGTCCAAGGGGGAGGGGGGGGGGGTTATAATGTTACGCAGGCCCATAGCCAGGGGGGGGTTGATGGGTTCGTTATGCAGTTTTGGCTACGGGCCTGTTACATGTACATGTTCTTAAATGTGTTGCTTAGCCACCCTATTATATTTGTCCTCTAACTAAAATAACCTGCATCAGTTTGTGTAATATTCAAAATACTAATATTAAAGGTAGAATCAATCACTTGTTGAAATATGAAAAAATGTTGACAATGGCTTTCCACCCTGGATTGCCCATAAATGGTTGAAAATTAAGTTGGTTTAATTTAATGTTGATTAACATCTAAAAATTCTTTCAAATTTTCTATAATAGAATTTATTTTATTATTATTTTTTTTAAATCATTTTATTTAGCCTAGAATTTAGAGAATTTATTGATAATACCTTGACTTTTTAATGCAGTAATATTTGAGCATAAAGAAATGTGTCAGGTTTGAAGAACAATTCACGAAGGACAATGAATGAGCTGCCATCTATTTTAAAAAATCTTAACAGAAACAAAATTCAAACCTTAATACATGATATGACAAGGAGTGAGTGAGTGTCAAAAACATTCAGAATATGAATCATTAGAAAAAGTTTTTCTGATTCTACCTTTAAAATGAAATTTATTAATGAAAAAGTGTATGCGCTATCACCAGATAGATCATAGGCATGAAATGTCTATGCAGATATGTACGCCTTAGTCAAAGAATGACTGTAGTTCTAGACCACGCATAAAATGAAAGGGAATGCTCAAATAATTATTGTAGTTCTAGACCAATGGGAATGCACTGAATTTGTGGTGTATTTTGCTTAGCTCATCTGCTATTGTGTGAATTAAGATGATGCAAATATAAATAATGTATGATCTAATTAAACTTGAAATAAAAATTCACACTTCCTAGTGCAGTGAATTGGTATGGTCTGAGAATTTATCTGGATAAATTTTATTTTCTTAGATCTAGATAAATATTCGGTGAATTGGTACGAACCTAGGTTTTATCCCGAGATTTATCAAAGTGACCAAATAACATACATTTTATCCCCCTTTTTTTTTTTTAAATTTATCAAAAAGATTGTACGAATTCACCATTGATGGTAAGGGTAAATTTCAAGATAATTCCCACAATGCATCATAACCATGACGAAATTTATCTGGATTAGTCCTTTGGGGATGTGTAAATAATGGCTGAATCAGTTATGGTAATTGCTGATACATAAACTGTAGGAGAATGGACAGAAATATGTTAGAAGATTGCCTGGCTGTTTGCTAAATGTTGCATAATTATTATTAATTTATTGTTTGGCTATAGTAACCAACACTGAAAAGATTGCAAATGTGTGGGCATAATCACACTTATTATAGCTGGTATGGTACTAGTAAATGCTGCTGGTGCATACAAATGCAAAGGACTAGTTGTCTTAGTGGACTATTATACTAGAATGCCCAAATTATAGAATTTCTCTGTTGAATTGGTAAATTGGATCAAAATGTAAATTTTCTGTTGTTTTATAAAATTGATATAATTTCTGTGCACTTTATAGTAAATGATAATGTGCGAATCCTATTGTTTTTAGAATTATTGGCATTCTAGTACAGTGATCTCCCCAGGATTTTATCTCAAGTGGGTGCAAAATTCTGAATCTTAAAATTTGGTGAAAATATGGCTAATTTTCATGAATTTTCTTATTTTCAAGTGGGTGCAAAAATATTTTAGGTGGGTGAAAGCCTGTTTTCAAAATCTCAAGTAGGTGCTACACCCACTTGCTTTAATGCTGGGGAGATCACTGGAGTATAATAGTCCACAATACAAGAACAAATGGTCCTGTGTAATAATTGTTCTGCTTAACTTGGTGGACTAATGGAAGTCTAATATAATATGTGAATAGAAACCAGGTGGGTTAGATCAGGCGGGTTAGATCAGTAGATTGTTGAAAACGATCGAGGAAATGATATTGATTACATATTAGGCCATAAGAAGTAGATTCTTTGTTTTGCGTCCTGGCAAAATCCAAATCATGCAAGGGTACAGGGAAAACAAACACAAAGTCAAGAAAAAACACAAACTTGTTTGCTGAGAAATGTTTACACTTCATGGGCATGAAAAGGGATGACCAATTTGTAGTGATTACAACGCATATACAGTATATACATTTTATACAATATATTTAAACATATTGTTATTATTCAAAGGTAAATAAGAAAATATACAATGTATGCCAAGTTATCAATAACACAGTCAATATTGACGCATGTCAAATTAGACGCCGTTTTGTCTGATTCTGATTGAACAAAATGCGATGGTACTTTCAGACCCTTGTGATTGCTGTTTGGATGTGTTTGTTTTTTCTGATTTGCTCAAAATCGAAGAATCTTCTTCTTATGGACTTATTTCAGATTACAAGATGAAGAATTCTAAATACATTATGGATTGTTTTGAAATTAAAAAATATTTACTCATAAAAGAGGAATGTCTGATATACAAAAGTAACAGGACAGTAACAAGTGAACATGAGTCCCAATCTCCACTCTATAGAGGGCACCACTATCCTTAGAGGTAGTCACAAGTTACTAGAAGTAGTATTGTGTACTCGGTGCAGATTTAAAAAAATACCAGCACCAGTCCTGTTACTTTTGGAACAGCCTGTATGTAGTGTTAATTTGAAGATTGTAAGCTTTTTGAGTGTTTTTGAACACTCTGTATTTGTGTACTACCATTTATGATCGACCTGACATAATCCATCATGACCTTTGAACAGACGTATAATGATTTGAAACCAACTTTAAACATACCCAAGAGCTATAATATAAGAACATTATTCCAATTTACAATCCCATGTTCAATTTTGCTTTCAAAATGTATTGAAATCAGTTGCATTTACATATACAATATTGGGAGTCGTAGTACTGTAATGATCACACATTTTAGAATGTTCTTTGATTCATGTTTTGGGGATTTAACTATACTTAAGTTGAGTCCATTCCCATAAATCCCCACATTTCTTCTCTGCTTAGTGCTTAGTTTTTACTTTATATCCTTTAAAGGTTGGTCTTAACATTGAGTGTTCTATAATGTACTAGAGACACCTAGTTTGGGATTTGTTTCATAAGGAAATGGCCATGGCTGATGACTCTAATTTTGCCACTGTCTTGTTATTCCCACTATGGTCATTCCCAAAATAAATATTTTGCTTGGATTTACTTTTCTTGGAGTTGCAGTTTCTCTCAGTTATGTTTTCAACATCTTATTTTTGTTACACTGAATGAATTATTGCACATTAATGTATAACGACCATTAAGCTTCAGGGGCTGATTATCCTGACTGGATCTGCTGAGTTAAAAATTAACAGTATGACATTTAGTTGTATCACAAATATACCATATATTGTATTGCAAGTGATTTTTGACATTCATATTTTTGATAGTGGAGACTTTTTGACCATATATTCCAATCTTTTACCATTTTAAAAACTACTGTACTTAAAATGATGAAAAGTGAACTTTGATCTGGATTAATCCGCATATTAATTTCTTTTTAAAGTTTCAATGGTCCTTTGCATATTTTGGGATATAGGCTGCAGTAGGCAATGGGAAAAGAGTCAACATTTCATTGTTTTGTGTTCAAAGGATATTAAAATGGCAAGAATAGGGAGTTTAAGCTTACATATAAAATAGAAACGCCAACCTATACGTATGACCAAATTTGCCCATACAAATGCATCGTTTGAATATTATTCGTTCATGTTTAGGTTGTGAAAAACATTGAAAGCTTAAACTCCCTAATATCACCTTTAATCTCTAAGGGTTATAAAAACAGAATTTTGAAAACCGAAAACAGACAGCTTTAATATACAAATGTATATGCTATTTAATATGTCGAGGATGTCTGTACCAATGAGCATGAAACAAAGAACAATATACTTGAATTCTGTTGGAATCCCCATGTAGCAATAATCCAAGTTTAAATGGGTGCCATGCATACCAATCTGTGTTGTTAAAGAAAATCGGTATGACAACACTTGGATCATGATGTCGATATCCAATGAGAGTAGTTGGATGATTTTTTAGTTTCTCTAGTCCATGAAGAATAGTCGGAACTGCAATCTCCATGTATAGTTTGTGTTTAAGGAATACTTCGGCTAGTTTGTGAAATTGATTCCAATAGGCTTTTGGGAGATAGTAAATGTCGGCAATTGCTTTAAAGAAGCGTTTTTTACCGCCTGAGCGTTTCTCTAAAAATTGCAGAAAATTTGTAAAAATTTGATCATCTCTTTCAGTTTCTATTTTAGATTTTTCTAAGAGTTCATCTTGCGCCATCAGAATCCGTCCTTTTAACTTTGCAAACCATCCTTGGGAAAGTGTTTTATTGCACGGTAAAGTTACATCCGTTAAGTAACATTCTTTAGGCTGGTTTAACGGATCAACGAAGCTGGCCAAATATAAGTCAGTTGTTTCGCTATCATTATGTCCTTTCCAGTGGTCCGCCAACCAAATCTCATTCCAATTATATTCTCTAATAGATTCCACTTTCAAAATGACATCATCTGACATGTATAAAATGCCCCTCGCATCGTAGCCCTTATTTATCGCTTGCACCATGCAATTATATATATAAGCGCCACCTATATCACGTTCACTCTCTAGTTCAAACATGACATATGACATCTGGAAATTAATTATCATATGCTCCGGGGGTTCCGAGGGGCCGCAATACAGTATGCTCTGAAAATAGTCCCGGTAGAGAAGCTCTATATATGGAACAGCTTCATAATACTGGTACTTATTGAATGATACAAGCAGTACAATTTGGTAAGGGTCTACAGGTTGTCCCATTGGTATATGGTTTACTGGCATATCGGGAATTATTGTTGTGTTGTCGCACGTCTCCAGGAAAACCTTGTTAAGAAGTTTTGAGGCATATGAAGCCGGAGGGTTGGTCGAAGTTATCTGAGTTCCAAACTGAAATCAAATGATAGTGAAATTCAATTTAAGATGTGTAAAACAGATTATTGTATATACATGTAGCATGAAATCTTATAATGAATCATTAAAGTCATAAATTAAATAGATTAAATATAAGGGCCTCTTAATCATGTGAAAAGGTGTAAGAGTGACATTTTTTAATGTCACTTGTTATAGTCTCCAACTTTTTGTGATGTTTGATGGTTGGCATATGGCGCTCAGTTTTCGGCAGTCAGGGTTTAGTGTCTGTAACAAATGACAGGTTGTGACATTTTGCATGTTAACGTCTTGTCTAAAACTTATTCTCACCTCAACTCTGTCATTTCGACTTCCTTTGACTGTTGAGTGTACGGGAACGTCAGATGTTTCAAACCTTAGGTATTCTTGTCTGAGATGATATATCCCAATTACGGCTCCCAAGCACAGAGCTATGAAACGCAAAGAAAATCTTGCCATTGTTAAAGTCTCTTCCTTCTATATAAGTGGTTTTAGCCAATGATTTACAGGGTGCTCTTACATTTTTTGCTCATAGAGTACTTTATTGTCTTGTGGTTTTTAATCTCTAGCTCACAATTTTGAAGAGAGAGCATCAAACATATTTTCAACTACTTCAGAAAAATAATGCTCAGAATTTTCATTTTGTCATAGTTATTAACAATTCAAAATTCTGAGTAATTATTTCTGCTTTTACATTTCATATTGAAGTCCCTGTATTAACGAATTCACCGAAAAATTAACTGTATGATGTGCTTCACTGGAAAGTAAAGAAAATGTTGCCATAATATTTTCTCTTGGTTGTGTCTTTATGTCCTTGTTTTTACCTGTTTCCACTAATGCTGTCTGGCTTAACTAACACTACATCATTGATAAACCTTTTATTGATCTGTGTGTAGTTGTCTTGTTCCAATGTGCTTGTTCCAATGTGCTTGTTCATTGCCACTTTAATAGCATACCCTTCAGCTAAATCTTAGTTAAGATAATGGCAACTCACTGTTGAGTTGCAAATTCCACCAAATAAATGGCCAGTTTGATACTATCCTCTCATGCATATTTTCAAAGTATTGTCCATTTTTAAATGTTTTTAGATATGTTGATACCTATCTGTTCATTTACCTGCATTATTGATATCCCGTATTAAAGCAAGTGGGCAACAGCACCCACTTGGAACTTTAAAAAATAGGCTTTGTTCAAGACAACATCCACTTGAAAATGGGAAAGAAATTAAAATAAACACATTTTGACCAATTTTGGTCTGAAATATAAAAATGAAAATTCTGCATATGTACCAAAAATAAAATGAGTGTTTTGTGATATTTCATTCTTATCTACTTTTTCAGCCAACATGGATGAAGAACTTCTGAGTGGAGTCTTGAACATAACGATACATTCCCTGCATGGCCTAAAAGAACCATGTGGTAAGTTTAACATACTGATACATTCCCTGCATGGCCTAAAAGAACCATGTGGTAAGTTTAACATAACGATACATTCCCTGCATGGCCTAAAAGAACCATGTGGTAAGTTTAACATAACGATACATTCCCTGTATGGCCTGAAAGAACCATGTGGTAAGTTTAACATATTGATACATTCCCTGTATGGCCTGAAAGAACCATGTGGTAAGTTTAACATAACGATACATTCCCTGCATGGCCTAAAAGAACCATGTGGTAAGTTTAACATAACGATACATTCCCTGCATGGCCTAAAAGAACCATGTGGTAAGTTTAACATAACGATACATTCCCTGCATGGCCTAAAAGAACCATGTGGTAAGTTTAACATAACGATACATTCCCTGCATGGCCTAAAAGAACCATGTGGTAAGTTTAACATAACAATACATTCCCTGTATGGCCTGAAAGAACCATGTGGTAAGTTTAACATATCGATACATTCCCTGCACGGCCTGAAAGAACCATGTGGTAAGTTTAACAAAACGATACATTCCCTGTATGGCCTGAAAGAACCATGTGGTAAGTTTAACGTATTGATACATTCCCTGCATGGCCTGAAAGAACAATGTGGTAAGTTTAACATAACGATACATTCCCTGCATGGCCTAAAAGAACCATGTGGTAAGTTTAACATATTGATACATTCCCTGCATGGCCTAAAAGAACCATGTGGTAAGTAACAATTAAAACTTTTTATAATATTGAAGAGAGCCTTTGTGTAATTAATTGAAAATGTTAAACATGTAATTTCCTTTTGAGTCGAAAAGCAGCTTTTGTTTCAATGATAAAAATGAACCTTCTAATACCAGAATAAATTTCTCATTCATTTATGGTTAAGGATCTTTTTGGATTTTCTGTGGTATGCCTACAGCCTACATGCATCTGTGATTTGTGATTTCCCAAAAATCACATTTTCTGGTTAGGCATTTTTTAGGTCACCCTGTAGTTGCACTAGCATGACTAGAGATTTGGTACATTAATTGTTCATAGTGAAGTGAATTAAACAAATGATAAATTTTAATGATTATATTAATGAATTTTTCGTTTCAGATACATATTGCTGTATTGAGGTAGATTCATTTGGACATTTTTTCATGCAAGCCAAGACCAACATGTTCTATAAGACAACAGAACCGGCGTGGAATGAGGTAAGGCAGGATTTCTATCTCTTCTTTCATTTAAATCGCAACAGTTCAATATAACCAAACTGAAATCGCTTATCATCAAGATTGGCGTTCTAATTTTTCAAATATTTTTTATCAGTGTACCAAGCAATTTTCTGACAGCCACAGTTGAGGTTTAATTGTTGTGGTGGGTTGAGGACCCAGTGGGGACTCCCTTCAAATAATTAACATTGAACTTAAAGTTAACATTCTCGAGACAAAATAATTCACATTACGTTGTTCTAAGATCTCATTTCCCAATTTTTGATGGTGAAATGATGAATTGACAGTTTTTCAGTTTGTGTACAATAAAACCTGTATGAACACCTCTGCAATCTTACCATATCTCTTAATATGTTTTATGGGTCCCATATTTAAAGTTACCATAGACTTCAGGCCCGTAGCCAGGATTTGCCAAGGGGGGTTCACTGTTTGAAAATTTCCGGGAGAGGGGTACTTTTGAAAATTTTGGTCCAAAAATGGCCAAAATCACTTAAAATGTGATCAGAATGATGAAAAACTGCATGATTTTGAAAGTATTATTGGCCTGTGAGGGGGGGGGTTCGCTCGAACCCATCAAACCCCACTGGCAACGAGCCTGGACTTCAATGTTGAAAACTTCAAAATGTAAACACCTGAATGTTTTTGGCTTATCCAAGTGTGGTTTTGAGCAGACAGGTTTGACTTATAATATATTGACATAACAATGTAGATTTCCATCAGATTCATTATCTCATCCAATGTATTTTCCAGGAATATTGTGTTGATTTGGATGGAGCCCAGACATTGCGAGTCATGGCTTATAAACAGGAAGGGGAGGAGCAGATATTGCTGGGCAAGATTGCAATGGAGGTACGTTCATGAAAACACAGAATGAGATCCTCTGGTAATGGCTGATTTGAAAAAGTCAGTCCACCCCAGTGGGGATCAAACCCATGACCCCTCGCTTTCCAGATAAGTGCTCCATTCGCTGAACTTCATGACCATCTGAGTTTCCCTTATCAATATTGCATATTTATCATCATTTGTCTGTGTCTTATTTGCCCAGTTTTCTGTACATTGTTTTATTGTGGCTTCATCAGTTCATATGTGTGAATTTAGGAGAAATCTGTCATTTTTGATTGGATTGTTCCTCACATCATTGGATGTATTTTCCACCAATCATACAGATAAAGTTTGCTGACAGTGACCTTGCATAATACTTTGTAACGTACCTATTCAAATATCCCAAACCATTTCATTCCATATTTTGAGAAATAGCCTCGTGAATTAATTGTTTTATCGCAGCTGGGAAAAGCCTGGTTGAGAGGAGACTTTGTTGAGAAAACTATGGCGATGAGTACAGATCTATCCATGACGATAACCCTACGATACACCCCAAGTACACAGACCATAAAAAGGGTAGCATCCAGAGTAAAAACTGGGGTCTTTGGTGTAAAGATACAAACAGTTACAAAGTAAGTATGTTATACACCCTCCAAAAGTATGACAACTACTGATTTACCATTGTATAGCATGGTAAAGCTGTTTATTTGATTTTTTAAAATTGCAACATGTTAGGTTTTGTTATGAGGCAAGTATAAATAAGGGGCAGGGATATCCAAAACTTTAGAGGAGGGTAATACTGCATGCTAGTATACTTTATATAAGTGTCAGGTTCTTGAAATAATAATTCTATCATGGCACCATGATAGGAACACAGCCAGAATAGATGAGGCAATAGGTGAGGCAAATTTAAACTGGGAGGCAAATTTGTGTTAAGGAGAGGTAATACTGTAATATAACTATCACAAAACTTTATTTCACACTCTCAATTGAAAAAAACACTTTTGGCCCGATATATAAGGTTTTATAAATCTTGATGAGACACTTGTTCAGGAAAATCAATGTATGTGCAGCAATTTTTTTTAACATGTATTTCTTCATTGTTTCAGGAGAGAGAACAACAATATTCCAGCTATTGTTCTGTCATGCGTACAGGAAGTGGAGAAAAGTGGACTTAAGGAACTAGGGATATATCGAGTTTCGGGATCCTCATCTGACGTTCAGCAGTTAAAGAAAGCTTTTGATAGAAGTAAGGTTTCTACTAGGGGTACCACGATACGAGAAATTGAATATCGATACGTATCTACGATACTGACCTCACGATACGATACAATGATACAGCGTAAATTGAAGTGAAACTGAATTTTATTCTAATTTTTCAAACGTGTAAAGCCGGAAGTACTTTAGCCGGATTACGTTAATTTCACATCACGACAAAGAAAGGTGTAAAATATGCTAACATCGATTAAAACATCTTAATGACGTGTGGTATTCGGGAACTAGAGGGGCAAAGGAAGGTGGCAAGCAAGATACGTAACTATGACTGTCTGTCATCTCTAAGCGCTGAGTTTTTCCCTTCCTTTGGGTAAGTAAGAAGGGACTTCAGGTCAAAAAACGATACGACCGATATTCATTTTATGTATCGATACAGCCCGTATCAGAGGTGAATTGCTCGAGCGCTCGAGCACTCGAGCGCTCGCGGTACCCCTAGTTTCTACTAAGCAGTAAATATACAAGTGATCCTTGCTTCCATCCACCTGAGAATCCATTTGAACACACTTGAAAATGAAAATGTCATGAAAAGTATGCCTACTTTGATAAAAATTGGTCTTATTTAAAAAAAATAAGAATTTGCATCCACTCCAGAAAAAACCCTAAGAAAAACACTGTATATTTAATACCTAGTATAGTTTCTAAGGTTTTGTCAGAGTTCAAAAATATGGCACATTGTATCCTTGTTAACTGTTGATTTAAATGCGTTGATTTTTAATAATTAATTTAATTGCATGAATTTCTTAATTTTGTAGACAGTAAAGGAGCAGCAAAACTTGTGACTGAATTTGATATCAATGCGATAACAGGGGTCCTCAAATTGTACTTCAGGGAGCTCCCAGAGGCTCTCTTTACCGATAAACTATATCCAAGCTTAGTGAAAGGCATGGGTAAGTATACTTAGTTAAAGGCCCCATGTAATGTTTAAATCATTATTAAAGGCGTCATCTAATGTCACATTTGGCTAGTATTGTACATGAAGTTGTAATCAAAATGTGAAAAACAAAAAGTTACAACTAATTGTTTGAATGAAAAACTTTGGATGGGGCCTTGAAAAAGTAAAATCTCTTGATTGTGTTCTCTCTACCCTACCATGTGACCTTGTTTAAAAAGGATACAGGCAACAGTAAAGTCGCAAATGGAGCAGGTATTCTCTATTTGTCTATAGGGCTTTTCTGGTAATAATTCACTACAAACTGCTTAACGAATCTATACAATGTACAGTAGAACATTAAAAATATATGTAAAATCTAGTATACTTATTGAAATAAGGAAATAAAGAAATGTCTTCCGTTGTGGATACAGGCTACAGTATGGGGTAGGGTAGACTGATGTTGTAGCCATCTTGTACATTATACATTTGTATCTTGTTGATTGCAATTAATTTTTCTCAAATAAACGATTTCAACTATTCGTTTGAATTAACACTGAATGTTTGTTTTGTAGAATTAGCAGATCCTGCCGCGAAAAGGGAATGCATGGTGACCTTGCTAAGGTCACTACCAGAGCCTAACTTTGCCACAGCTGTATATATGATAGATCATTTAGTCATGTAAGTTCAACTTTGCCACAGCTGTAAATATGATAGATCATTTATTTATAGTCATGTAAGTTCAACTTTGCCACAGCTGTATACATGATAGATCATTTAGTCATGTAAGTCCAATTTTTCCATGTCTGTATACATGATAGATCATTTAGTCATGTAAGTCCAACTTTGCCACAGCTGTATATATGATAGATCACTTAGTCATGTAAGTCTAACTTTGCCACAGCTGTATATATGATAGATCATTTAGTCATGTAAGTTCAACTTTGCCACAGCTGTATATATGATAGATCATTTAGTCATGTAAGTTCAACTTTGCCACATCTGTATATATGATAGATCATTTAATCAAGTAAGCTCAACTTTGCCACAGCTGTATATATGATAGATCATTTAGTCATGTAAGTTCAACTTTGCCACAGCTGTATATATGATAGATCGTTTAGTCATGTAAGTTCAACTTTGCCACAGCTGTATATATGATAGATCATTTAGTCATGTAAGTTCAACTTTGCCACAGCTGAATATATGATAGATCATTTAGTCATGTAAGTTCAACTTTGTCACAGCTGTATATATGATAGATCATTTAGTCATGTAAGTCCAACTTTGCCACATCTGTATGTATGATCGATCATTTAATCATGTAAGTTCAACTTTGCTACAGCTGTACAGTATATGACCATTTGTAGTTTTTACTAGTTTGAGCATGTATAAGATGTACATTAATATGTTTAAAACTGAATTGAATTGACCTCCTCCCATGTGACTCTACCACTGACATTCAAAAGTGATTTCATATGTAATATGATCATTTCTTTTCAGGGTATCAAAATTAGCTTCAGTGAACAAAATGTCTCTGCAGAACTTAGCGACCATATTTGGGCCTACGTTACTTCGTCCTGCATCTGAGCCTCAGAAAGATGAAGGTGGAGATGAATCGTCAAATATTATTCTTCAATTGACGCGTGAGGCCAAAGACAGTATGATACAAACTGCAATTCTAATGTACTATCTCTGGATTCGCAATGAAGGTGTTTCATTTGATGCTCCCAAAACACCAACTGTGGAATCAACAATGATTTGAAAATGGAATATAAAAGCGTTTAATGAGAGCCAAGATAGTATGATACAAACTGCAATTCTAATGTACTATCTCTGGATTCGTAATGAAGGTGTTTCATTCGATGCTCCCAAAACACCTACTGTGGAATCAACAATGATTTGAAAATGGAATATAAAAGCGTTTAATGAGAGCCAAGATAGTATCAAGCAATATTTTCTATAAATCTTGACCCCTTTTTGTGAACCAAAGAATCTAACGGATACCTTTATGATGTCATACTTATGCTGTAGTGTTGATCAATAATTTTAAGGAAGTTTTGGAAAATTAGCAATGCAATAACTTCACCCTATTTTTGCCCAGAAATTGTTTTTTTGTCGTATCCAATAAGTCAGGTTACTGTAAAGCACATTAAATGCATGTGAGCAATTTTGCTGATTCGTACATTTGTTTCTTTTCATTCAGTCATATTTACATTTTCGTAAGGGCTTCTATTTCTGCCAGAAGTACAATTTTAAATTTGTGGTACCCTGAATTAGCGGTTTTACTCTTACACGAATATATGCAAATTCAACATGTCTGCAAATTTAATGTATTTTACAGTATTTACTGGGCTTTATGTACTTGGAGGTACACTGCCTACTGTAAAGGCTGAAACTCAAAAATAAAATTATTTTCCCAATAATGGTCTAGTTTTACAGTTTTCAGCCTGAAACCACAACAAGATGACCATTAGTGAATTATTGTACAATTTGACATTTTATAGAGATTTCTTATTGAGTATGTCATTTCCATGAAATTAACAATTTTTTCAGCTATTTTTGAAAAATATAAGCATGCAAAATGTCTTAGTTTTGGGAAATCACGAAATTTTCTAGGTTTGCATTATCTAGGGTCATTCAGTTTTTTACTCTTTTAGATGCATTTATTGAAAAAGTAAATGTGTATACAGTACGGCCAGATATTTTGTATTTTATGCTTCATGGTATATGGGTTATACAGAGAAAGGGGCTAGCTTGGCTTGTTCAAGTTTAAGTAAAACCTGTGTATGTAGAATCTATTTGGTACCTCTAAAAATACTCGACTCGGGAGGTGTTCAACTTAAAGAGGTTTATATTAGTCCGTTGGTCTTGAGAATCTGAAGTGTTTCACTAACCAAAGTATACCACTTCAAGAGGTGTTTCACTTTACAGGTTTCACTGTACTTTGAAGAGACAAAGGTACTCCACTTAATATATTGTGTAGATATTCCATGAGACAGGTTTTACTGTATTGTGTATATAGCAGCTGTCCATGTATAAAGAGTTGTATAAATACATCAGGCTTATACACAAGCTGTTTGTTTGTTATAAAATCGGATTCATGATTCTTCCTAGTCAAGTAATACAAATTGAGTAGCACGATTAAAATTTATGGAACACGGGGCCTATTTTTGGTTCACCCTGTATGTATCATGTGAGGTGGCTCAAAATCAGTGGCTAATAAGGCTAAAATCATCACTATTTGATTGATATATTTTAAATGTGTTTGTGGGTATTATTCATTGTGAAAGTAGATGTAAAATTGCTTTACAAATCTTTGTGAAACATTATTTATATTAGCCTGGTCGTGAGAAAAAGGTGTTGTTACATTCATTTTTTTGTCACCACCAAAAGTGGTGACATATTGTAGTCAACTTTTTTGTGGATGGTGTTCAACAGTCTGCAATCAGCATGTGTAACAAATGTCAGGTGGTGACATTTTGCATGTTAGTGCCTCGTAATAAGACTGCTTTTCTCACAACTTGGCTCATTGTGTTGAGTGGTTGATACATATATAAAGGTGCTATTTTATGAGGTGGTTGGACAGATATTTTAAGAATATATAGGCTATCAAGTATAAAGGTTCCATTGTAAAATCTGTATACTAAATATCTGAACACTCAATGTGAAATTTTTTTTCTTTACCATTATTAAATGTCATAGACTTTCATGTTAAAATAAAATATCAAAATGTCAATCTGAATTTCACACCACTTGTGGTGGTGACATCAAAGATTAACTGTCAGAATCGGTGTGTTCTTTCAATTACCAAACAAAATTTGAACAAAAATGTTCACTGGTATTTGCCTATCTAATACTCATAGTATGGAATAAACAGGTTTTCTATCAACATTTTAAAATTCATCCTTTAAAGTATTAAACCAAAAATGTCCACTGGTATTTGCTTATCTCATACTCGTAGTATGGGATAAACAGCTCATCTCATACTGATAGTATGGGATAAACAGCTTTTCTATCAACATTTTGAAATTCATCCTTTAAAGTATATACTGTAAAGACTTGATTTGTTTGGGTGCATATAACATATTTGTTTGGGTGCTCATTATCAAGTGCTTATTTATAGATGTGCATAATATTTAAGGATTCAAATAAGATACAACTACAGGGGTTTCACTAGAATTTTCCACAAAATAAATAAAACAACAGGCAAAATTAATGGAAATCATAAATTCAACATGGAAAAGTTGAAAAGCCCCTAAAAACAAAAGGCGATTTTGTGGAAACAACCGGGGAAAATCGCCTGTTGCCTGCTGCTAATGAAACCCCTGAACTATAAGTACATGCACACCTTATGTACATGTACATAAGATAACACATGAATAAAGCACTAGGGGCCATGAAATTTAGTAATAGTCTGCATGATCATTGTTGGCGGATCCAAAAATCAAGAGCTTGACACATGAAAAGCAAATAGTGCTAAAAAAGCAAATAGTGCCAAAAAAGCATCCTTTCTGGGTCCACCAATGATGATTTCGTCACTTAGATGGTTTGTATTTTTCGCCATTTGGTTTATATTATTTGGATTTATTTGTATAGATATAGATTTTTATATTATATTCTAGAATATATGTATATTACAAAGCGTATTAAGTAGCAAATGAAACGCTAATGAAATGTTATGAATTATTATACAAAGAAGAAATTCAAATAAATTACTTTATTTATATATTTCAAAAATTGTGTATGTACAAAATTTGTAGTAGGAAGGTTCAGTTACTTACAAGCATTCTGGAGAACGCAATTGTGTAATAATATGGACCCCTAATTTGGTTTAAATTTGGTTTACCATAGTACACTATCTGACTATGCAAATAAAGGTCAGTGAGGAGAAAATAGTCCAAACAGGGGACCATAATTTTTCACATTTTATGTATGTATACATTCTTCAAAACAGTGCTTACTTAACCTCCCTAATATTTATGAAACAGACAACAGAAAAAATACTAAGATTTGTTTGAAAAAAATGGTCAATGTGATGAAATAGCAATTTGAATCACCTTTTGAAATAGTTTTCTTTTTGACGCCATATTGTTTCAATTTAGTAACCTTGACACCCTGTCGATTCTGATCCAGTGAGAAGCTTTGCTTATTCAATTGATTTTTCAATCTCCCAATATAATGTAAATCAAATAAGATCATTAAAATTTTATCAACAATAAAACTAAAGTCCTCTAATAGCATGAATAGTCGGAGGGTAGTTAAGCTATCGATTAGAAATCGAGAGGTATTTCCAACAAATCTCCATATCTTTTTCTCGTTGACAAATACATAACATGTAGTATTATATGATTATCTAGTCTAAAGCATATATCTGCTTAAGTACTGACATGAAGCTAAAATTGCATCTATATGATCTCGTACATAGCGCCCAAAATAATCTATTGCACTTTTCATTAAAATTGTTAAAGATTTAAGATACAAAAAATGTCAAATTTCGTTAGAACCAAAAAAGGGACACCTTCCCATTTTTATTTTCTGTGGAATAACATTATTTAACCTCTTGACTACCCAGAATGACGAGATTTCTCGATCTCGTCAGCTCAGAAATGACCTTGAAACCCAGAGGGACGAGAAAATCCGTCACAAAATTGTTCACAAAAATTGCTCTTATTTGAACAATTTTCATCCAATTTACACAAAAATTGTTTTAAAACGTGTAGAAATGATCTCTGTCATCTAATTTTACTAAGTTGAGCATCTAAAGTTGTAAAGGTATGTAGTAAAATGTCAAAAGGTGGCAAAAATGAAAAATTCTCTGGTTTCAACCAATTTTACAGCCTGGGATTCGAGAGGTTAAGGATTATCCTGATATAACGTCAAAACTGTTGGGCTTTTTAGAAAAAAAAGATGTGACGTAAGAAAAAAGGTGAAATTCTATCTTCTCTTGTCCCTTTACTTCATCATTTTCTGTGAGGGATTTTCCTTGGGGAAATAAAAAACTTAAAAGGTTTCATATCCTTTGTAAAGTTATTTTCAATAAAAAAAAGTTCAAATTTCTTGGAAGTGTTGAAAGACCATGGATTTCAGTAAAAGAATATCTAATGGGAGGAGCTAAGCTTCAGATTAATTGATTGGCACTTACACAATACCCATACAATACATGTATAACAATAATACTGCTATATTCCACATAACCCTTTCAAAGAGTTACACATTGTCTACCCTCTTAAAATTACAAAACAATTCTAGCCAATATCCAATCAGGCTACAGTTAGAAAACATTATACAGCATACATGGATACATGTAATTATAAGTTCCATTAGAGATCATTGAGATTTAATGAGGATCAAAACTTAAAATCATCATTAATAGTTAGAGGGATAGCTAGCTTGGTGGGAATTCAGGGTTATTTGAACTTACCACATTCTCTCTAATGAGCGCACAATGCGCAGCGCTTCCAAAATTGAAATTAAAAGGGTAAAACATTGAGAGATTCCAATAAGTACATAGACAAAAAATTAAGAAAAAATATTGCAAATAATCTTTTTAGTTGTTATCACTAAGGTTTACATACTCTACAGCTCATGTATTTCTTTCTCTGTATTAATTTAATATAATCAAGCAATATTTTGTTATGTAAATAATCAAAACTAATGCATTAAACTTTGTTTTTTCTTGAGACCATATTCAACATAAAAGTCACATTGGCACTCATTTGAATTTCCACTTTGCACAGATTGCAAAATACACTTATTGGAAATTATTTTTCTAGTTGTACCCTCCTTATTTTCCCAATATTTTCTTCATTTGAGAAGTCTGGTGTTCTATAGTTCCCGCAGCACGATCCATATTTGGTTGTATTCTGTCGATTTGGTCGTTTTGTCGTTCTATTTCATCACCAAGGCTCATTGCCATCATTTTTAGCTTAGACATTCCATCTGACATCATATCTGAAACAATTTTATTAAGTACATTAAATAGAGTAAGAACTTCACTACAAGGTTTTCTACTGACAGAGGTTGATTTTTATCAAGTTAATGGGTGACATTCCAAATACTGTAGATTGGGTTAATTTGGCGCTACTTAATTTGGCGATTTTGCCATTTTGGCATATTGGTGGCTATTTAATTTGGCGGATATGCAAAAAAATGTTTAAATTAAAAAAATGCAATGTTAAACTTGCGCGCTGTTTGCGAATAACCATGTAAATGGGCATGTTTGGCTATGTTCATTTTTTCTTTTGAGGACCACTGGCGATATTCACCACGTTTGTACATTTTTGTGAGATCATCCTTTACATTTTGCACCTCAAGCGATGCTGCTACTATACCACACTTTTCCTTTCTAGTTTTTCCCTGAGTATTAATGAGTGACTGACAAGTTCTGAGCCAATTTATGAGAGACATTTTTTCATATTTTTTGACAAACTAAACCGTAAGTGACCTAAATACACTGGACGAAATACCCTAGATACCGTAATTCCCAGGGATTAATTCTAAATTTTGGCGAAGTTTTATATTGGCGAAGTTTTCAATTTTGCCAAATTCGCCAAATTAAAGCGGGCGCCAAATTAACCCAATCTACAGTATAGGAAGGTGTTCATCTCGTCAACTTCAAGGTTTAACTGTAGTAAAAATTTGAAGCAACTGTTTTTATGTATCTATGATTGTACATGGAATTCTTTAATAAATTAAAACAAAGGGCCACAAAAGAAAATCATTACAACACAAAAGCTGGTAAACATAAGCAACATTTAATACAAATAGATGTCTCTGCTTTCAAAATCTCAAAATACTATCTAGTATTGGTTCCAGTATCACGGGGACTATCCAGGCCCCGCTGACATCGCGAGCAATGAGCCCATGCTAGAGGCGGGGCCTTGAGAGATAATGATAAAATTGAAATATGGATTTTTCTATGACAGGACAACTTTCTTTCATCGTTCAATGGCTATTTTAATTGGGGCAACGATGTTCTTCTTCTATAACTATATTTCTCTCAAGACCCTGCTTCTCACATGCTCGCGCTGTCAGCAGGAACTTGCTTGCATTATACGGGGCCTGTATAGTCACTATATGTAAAAATACCAGACACCACATCCGTATGTAGCCAACCTACAGTAAGAATTTGACAACCAAATCCCAGAGAGTTCCGACATTTTTAATTAAGATTAAACTGCTCCTAGATCTAATTATCTGTCTCCCCCTTTAAACCATGTTAAAATTATGTAGACGGTTTTTATCATTCTGTTTATGGTTAAGTACATGTGCTAGAATGAGATTTAATGCCGTTTACACAATTGTTATCCTATAATTCTGCTCATTGTGTTTTACTGACAGACACCTGGTTCTAGGGCTGAGAAAAAAGTTGTGTTTCTTGCAAATGCAAAAACAAGGCATTAACATGACAAAATGTCACCACCTAGTTGCTCACAATATTATGAGTTCAAACTTAAGTCAGATTTGAATTTCTGAGAACTTGTAAAGTCAAATTTGAACTTCTGAAAAGATGTAGATGATTTTGAAAAAAAAATTGGCCAATTTGAAGCAAGCTGAAAACAGACCTTTTTGACCTTTTTTGACCTTGAGAAGGTCATTGAAGGTCGAATGTCAAATCTAAAGTCAGATTTGAATTTCTGAGAACATGTAGATGATTTTGAAAAAAAAATTAAGTCAATTTGAAGCAAGTTGAAAAAAGACCTTTTTAACCTTTTTTGACTTTGAGAAGGTCATTGAAGGTCAAATGTCAAATCTTAAGTCAAATCTAAAGTCAGATTTGAATTTCTGAGAACACGTAGATGATTTGGAAATTTTTGTTTAGTCAATTTGAAGCAAGTTGAAAACAGACCTTTTTGACCTTTTTTGACCTTGAGAAGGTCATTAAAGGTCAAATGTCAAATCTAAAGTCAGATTTGAATTTCTGAGAACATGTAGATGATTTTGAAAAATAAATTTAGTCAATTTGAAGCAAGTTGAAAAAATACCTTTTTGACCTTTTTTGACCTTGAGAAGGTCATTGAAGGTCAAATGTCAAATCTAAAGTCATATTTGAATTTCTGAGAACACGTAGATGATTTTGAGAAAAAAATTTAGTCAATTTGAAGCAAGATGAAAAAATAACTTTTTGACCTTTTTTGACATTGAGAAGGTCATTGAAGGTCAAATGTCAAATCTAAAGTCAGATTTGAATTTCTGAGAACATGTAGATGATTTTGAAAAATAAATTTAGTCAATTTGAAGCAAGTTGAAAACAGACCTTTTTGACCTTTTTTGACCTTGAGAAGGTCATTGAAGGTCAAATGTCAAATCTTAAGTCAAATCTTAAGTCAGATTTGAATTTCTGAGAACACGTAGATGATTTTGAAAAAAAAATTTAGTCAATTTGAAGCAAGTTGAAAACAGACCTTTTTGACCTTTTTTGACCTTGAGAAGGTCATTGAAGGTCAAATGTCAAATCTTAAGTCAAATCTTAAGTCAGATTTGAATTTCTGAGAACACGTAGATGATTTTGAAAAAAAAATTTAGTCAATTTGAAGCAAGTTGAAAACAGACCTTTTGACCTTTTTTGACCTTGAGAAGGTCATTGAAGGTCAAATGTCAAATCTTAAGTCAGATTTGAATTTCTGAGAACACGTAGATGATTTTGAAAAAAAAATTTAGTCAATTTGAAGCAAGTTGAAAACAGACCTTTTTGACCTTTTTTGACCTTGAGAAGGTCATTGAAGGTCAAATGTCAAATCTTAAGTCAAATCTTAAGTCAGATTTGAATTTCTGAGAACACGTAGATGATTTTGAAAAAAAAATTTAGTCAATTTGAAGCAAGTTGAAAACAGACCTTTTTGACCTTTTTTGACCTTGAGAAGGTCATTGAAGGTCAAATCTAAAGTCAGATTTGAATTTCTGAGAACATGTAGATGATTTTGAAAAAAAAATTTAGTCAATTTGAAGCAAGTTGAAAAAAGACCTTTTTGACCTTTTTTGACTTTGAGAAGGTCATTGAAGGTCAAATGTCAAATCTTAAGTCAAATCTAAAGTCAGATTTGAATTTCTGAGAACACTTAGATAATTTTGAAAATTTTTTTTAGTCAATTTGAAGCAAGTTGAAAACAGACCTTTTTGACCTTGAGAATGTCATTGAAGGTCAAATGTCAAATCTTAAGTCAAATCTTAAGTCAGATTTGAATTTCTGAGAACGTAGATGATTTTGAAAAAAATATTTAGTCAATTTGAAGCAAGTTGAAAACAGACCTTTTTGACCTTTTTTGACCTTGAGAAGGTCATTGAAGGTCAAATGTCAAATCTAAAGTCAGATTTGAAGGTCAAATGTCAAATCTAAAGTCAGATTTGAATTTCTGAGAACATGTAGATGATTTTGAAAAATTTTTTAGTCAATGTGAAGCAAGTTGAAAAAAGACCTTTTTGACCTTGAGAAGGTCATTGAAGGTCAAATGTCAAATCTAAAGTCAGATTTGAACTTCTGAGAACATGTACATGGTTTAGAAAAAAATTGAAGTCAGTCTAAACAGTATTTGTTAAGTTATTAGGCTAGGCAAATGGAAGTTTAACATCCCAAAAATTGCAACAGTTTTTAAATTAGGCTTATATTGTATATTGATACCAGTTGAAAAACATATCAAAAATATAGAAAAATATATGCAGTGGACAAATATGAAATGTCACATTCCAGGTACCCCCCTCCAAATTTGAGTATGGGATTGTAAATATTTTTTTATTTCAAAATGGAATACTCTTGTCAACTAAACGAGTAATATTATGATAGTTTACTGACATAAGAGCAACTAAAAATTGTTAACCAACTATTTGAGTGCAATAATTGGCATTTCTAGCGCCAAATATCTGAAAATAGCCCATCAAATAGCCCGAATTTAATATAACAATGTATTTATTTCTGTATCAATCCATTAGAATTGCATGAAAAATATCAAGGAGGGTATTGTACACCTGAACATTGTCTTTGATAAGTACCAGGGTCATTAAGTGAATATTGAGCGTGAAAATAATATTTGAAATTTCAATATTTTACCACACCCACTTTTTGGGTGACCTTACTTTTGTTTAATTACTTCCGAAATATGTCATATTTGAACTCAATAGCACAACTAAATTATTTGTAAAGGCTAATTTTGTCCTGAAAACAGTTTTTTGAGGTTTTCAGGAAAGGATTATGTAAAAAAAAGTAGAAAAACAGCAAATGCCAGGTGAAATATAGGGGAAGCCCTACTTTTAGTTGATAACTGTTAAATTATCAAATGTTTTTTCCATTTAAATTCAATTTGATATATAATATACCTATTCTGGTAAAACAGAGAACGATTTGTTACAATCAGTGGTCAAAAAATGTCCTTGAAAAGGCAACAAAATGTTAAATATCCCTGTCCCTGACATCAGTTTATTAATATGAGCCAAAAAGGTAACCCAACCAAATGTTTGTTAATAACCCAGTCATTCAGCATGGGTTTGACATCATATTTGGCACCATTACCTTGTTCAATGTTCTTTCATTCTACTAAGTGTCATGGATCTATCCTTAATAGTCACGATTTTATGGCCATTTACAAAATGTGCTCAAAAAATCGAAATGTGCCTAACTGACTGGACATCAATACCACCAGTTTTTTTTTATCTGTGGACCTTTTTTCGATACTAACAACACTTGAAACATTAAAACAAGAGATAAGAATGAAGATGAGAGTCATAACACATGATTTTTATGCTCCTGATTTGAACAACAACGCACGATACGTTCAAGTTGGCCTCCAGGCATGACACCCATATTTCATGGCATGGTATAAAATGGCCATAAAATCGTGACCACTAGAGACCACTGAGACTGGGTAGATTGATAATACATTGACCAAGACTCAATTCTGCCAAATATGACACTAAATCCATGCAGGATGATTGGGACTGGATTATTAAGATTTGTTTGGGTTACCTTTTTGGCTCGCCCTGTATTAAGGAAAAATTGTTACTTTTGACAAAGGTGTCCTTAACCAAACAGTGATATTGAGAAATGAAATGAAGAAGTACAACAGTCTGAAGAATGTTCGATTTCAAGATGAAATTCAATAAAAAATGAGGAAAAGGTTTCTACATTAATAAATCCTCCTGAGTTAACTAGTGTAACGCAAAGTAAATCCCTGGTCTTTATACAGGGCCTGGTTCGATTATGTTATGTTCATTATCAAAAATGCTGCCTTAATTTTGTAATCTTAACCTTCATATATGTGTCTTACTTATAGAGAGCAAAAAAGAATGCTGATTAAATAAGCTTAATACTATTATGTTGGGCCCCTAAAACCTTGAAGTGGGCCCAAATTTTGAAATATTGAGACCCATTTTCTTCAATTAAAAAATAAGGCTTTAAAAGGCCCATTTATGACCAAAAAGGCCCACTTTTCGGGGCCTTAAGGCCTTTTTTGGGCCCAATTTTTTTTCTCGGCCCGCCCAAGGGGGTGGGAGGGGCCCAGATCTGATCAGTAATGGAGGTATTTGCACAAATGCCTTTGCATACCTTACATGTCAAAGAACAGTTATTTCATTTTTCTACAAGAACATCTCATAGAAATACAATCTGCCTTACACACACAATGGATGATCTCTGAGAAAGGGGAGCTGCATTTAAGCAATTGGTACATAGTTTCGTTGCTTATTTCCCAGCCCAATTATAATGGAGGCAGTTTATTTCCCTCCCCCTCCTGGATCTGATGGTACACTCTGTAACTGTGGTATTCCGCAGCATCAGAAAATGAAGGAAGAACACGGGGCTGCAATAATTCAGATCTTGCTGCTCTCTTTTAATATAATTTTAGAAGCCTAAGATAATTTAGGGTTTCACCATTTTTCCACCATAAATTGACAAAAGAGCATGTTCCTCTGCAATGACAGAGTTGCTTGCATTTCACTGGTTTTCTACTTGTTTACGTTGTAACAAAATGTCGGAACATCGAAGGTTTGATTTTTCTTTTTTCTTTATTTCACACATTGTAGGCAGAATTCCCACAACATTGTTATCACAAACATGTATCAGTATTATATGTTTAAAAAATTGTACATATTTGCGAACAAATAGTTCAGAAGACAACAGAATCTTCGATTTAATTCCTCACTTAAGTTACATAAACGGTATTTCGATAAACAATTAAGATCTGCACTTTTAACCCAAACCGTTTATTTAACTTAAGTAAGGAATTAAATCAACAATTCTGTGAGAAAAAAACATCGTAGGGATTCTGCCTACAACACGTGAAAAAAAAGGAAAAAAGAAATATCGTACTTTCGACGTTTAGACATTCTGTTACCGAAACGACAAGCGTAATCGAGCGGATCACCAGTGCTTTTGGTAATTTAAAAACAACCGCTTGTTTTCTCAAGAACTCACTCTTTTTTATCTGCCTCAATGATAGCCTCTTGTCTATGCCATATATAACCTGAATGCGATGTCACACCCCAGAAAAGAAACAAAATATTGTCACAGACCACTTTTCCCAAAGACAATCTTATTTCATTTATATTCCAACATTTTGTTTCTTGGGTTGCTGCTTTTGGTTCAGGTTTGAAGAAAATGTTGAAGTTTGTGTTTTGTGCATGATAAATGAGAAGCACAAGGAGATCTGTATGAGTACTGTATTTGAGGTTTGGACACTTTGGATTGCAGTTTTCACAATCACAATATCCGATTCTGAATGCAGCACATGTACACTCAATGTTTTCCAACCTGACAGACAGAATTACCATCATTCCTATGCACTGAGATTATATTAATGAAAGACTCCCCAGATATCTGAGATTTTAATGTTCTCTGTCAGTTTAAATTCCGTTTAATAACCATAAATTCGTTTCTACAGCATTATACATCCAATTGATAGTTCCATAATAATGTACTCTTATGTAATGATTTATTTATCTGATGAATTTAAATATATGCAAATTTTGTAATTGCGTATTGTAATTAATAATTTAAACAATATTAAATTCCACAAAAACTACAACTTACATTATTTAGATAAGCCTAGTATAGAGCAGTTATCAAATACCCTAATATCAGAGTGGTGATATGTAATTATTCATCAAATAAAAGTGAGGTCACCTTAACATTTCACCTGGTGCAACTAATAATTCCTATTTTCATACTAATAAGGTATAAACCTTCACAAAACTTGTATTTTAGATGATGACAAGCCTTTATAAATGATTTAGATGTCAACTCTAATACAAATGTGATGCATTGTGGGAGTTAATCATCAAAACTATAGTCTCCCCTATAGTGGGCGGGGCAAAACTATGAAAATGAAATAATTTTTTTCTTCCTAAGTATACACCTTAGAATTCTGACACTCACCAAATATGAAGTTCATATGAATATGTAACACCATGATTTTTTTCATGCTTTTCTGACAAACTGATCCTAAAATATCTAAATAGATATGTGATAACATGCCTGTTTTGTGGCCTATTTTGTTATACTTTGGGGTCAAATGACCAATTACTGGTCTCAAAATTGATTAAAATAATATTTTAATTATTTGTGAATATGTGATCTATCATAATAAAGCTTGAATACTTGACTAAAGTATTCCATTTGGGAAGAAAAAATTGTTTCCTACCAATACTCAATTTTGGGGTAGGGTTGTAGAGGGTACCTAGGAAGTGAAATTTCATATTTGTCCACTGCATACATTTTTCTATATTTTTGATATGTTTTTCAACTGATATTAATACATAATATAAGACTAATTTAAAAACTGTTGCAATTTTTGGGATGTTTGGGCCTTTTATGAGCCCATTTGCTTGGCCTATATAGGAAGTTGTAAGAAATTGTTACAGACGCCGGACGCCAACCGCCGGACGCCAACCGCCAACCACCAACCGCCGGACGCCGTCACAAAAAAACGGAGACCATAACAATATGTCACCACTTTTGGTGGTGACATAAAAAAAACGGAGACCATAACAATATGTCACCACTTTTGGTGGTGACATAATAAGGCAAAAAGAGTTGACTCAGTTAGGTTCCTGCAGAATCCTCTGCTTCAATAACTGTACATATATCACATGTATTTGGTTTTATTGATTCAAAAATTGCCTCAAACTATCCTGCACTGCTTAGAAATTTTAAAAATGCTTGTATATTTGGTACCTCAAAAGAGTGTTCCACTTGGGAAATGTTCCACATCAGCATTTTTTCTTAAAGGACAACTGAAATAGCTTTTCTCAACTTGCAGCTACAAAAATGCGGTTTTCTCCTTTGTAAGCCCAACGTAGAGTTCTTGCGATAGTCATTATAAAATAAATGTTAGATAACTGCTAACGGTCATAAATAACGAAATAAAACTAACTGATCAATCAAATTGGCCCCCACGTGATAAGTAACGTCATATACAAAATATAGCTTTGGTTTATTGGTTCCTTAGTAATCACAACGTCACGGCAACCATAGGATTGTAGTGTAAACCAAAACAAAACATTTTGGCATTATGACGTTATGGGCCATGTGGGGACCAGTGAGAGATCACGTGGGGGCCAATAACGTCACAACCAATTCGAATATTGCTTATTAAGCAGCTATAACGATCGTTAGAGTGAAATAGTTTTCGCACTACTGATGAGAAAATATGTCCAAATACATTTATCAAAAAATTATATTGATTCCTTTAGGTTAAAAAATACCATTTCATATCTGCTTTAAGTGGATGCAAAATTCTATTTTTACAAATCAGATCAAAATTTGCCCATTTTTCATGATGCTTCTCATTTTCAAGTGTATGCAAATGGATTTTCAGGCGGGTGCAAACCTGTTTTTAAAATCTCATGTGGGTGCTGCGCCCACTTGCTTTAATGCTGGAAAGATCACTGCACTTATATCTAGGTTCATTTTATATTGCGCTAACAGGACTTCAAAAAATGTTGTTCCACTCATGGAGTAATGGGAGTCTTATACATCTGTCATATTGATGCGATTTCAATCTATCTTGCAGCATTAGATTTTCAATGAAATGATCAAAAATTTTGCAACTTAAGTAATTTTAGAATACTATAAATCATTTCCATATAGAATGAACCCAGATCTTTTCTGGCCTAATGTAAGAGGCATAAGAAGCTCTGAAAAAGCTTCAGATTTGGTAGTGTTCACAAACCTAAATTATTATCAACGGCAGGATTATCTGTATAGCGACTTTCTGCAAATCCTCCAGTTTGAACTTGACTTTGTCGAGATCCTGCCCTGCCACCATATCCCCGAGAATCCACACCATCATCATCAGATCTCAGTCTTAGGGCAGGATGATCATCTGGATTATTTGATTTTTGAGTGACATTGTCTAAAGTTTCCTGTAATTTACTAGGACGAGCAGCAGGAGCCGTCTCTTCTTCTTTTTTACCTGACCACCAGTTTTTTATTCCGCCAAAAATACTGCGAATATTGTTGATATGTTTTTGTGATGTTTTTGTCATTTGATTGATTTCTGTTGTTTTGCGTTCTACATTGTCTAGCTGTTCACCTTGGTGAACTAGCTCCTGAAAATAAATATTTGAAGAGTCAGTGACTGCTCACAATCCAGAATACAAAAGATAATACATTAAGACTTTTTTAATTAAAGGCGTTGAAAATAAAAAAAATTATCACTTTTTAAAAATAAGCTCAACATTTCAAAAATGTGTCAAGGGTCCTAATCCATTGGCAAAAATCAGACCATCCACTTTCAAGAGAAGTTGAATCTGAGTTTGAATACTAAATATTTGCTGATTTGTGGATCAGATTTTAACAGACGATACTATCGACAACATGGATCTTGACATGTTGACAGCTGATAACATTTCGATCCACGGGGAGTCAGTCATCCTGATATATAGACCAATAGAATAAATACGATCAAGATTTACTTGAGTCTCTAGCCAATTCTTGGCTAGAAGTAATTCTATCTGGAACACTGTGAACTATTGTAAAATTTCTAGTCGGGGTTCAATAAATTTAAGTAATATTCTTAAAACCGTCATGTTAATATTTCATGAATTGAAATGGAACTGGCTCGGCTCCTTGATGAGATATTGCATGATTTCATCTAGATTAAAACAAACGGCCCCAAGAAAAATGATGAAATTTTAAAACTAGACGAAATTTCGTTAACGTCTGACATTAGTAACTGGCTGTAAATTCTAAGTTAGTGATCCAGAAGATGTGAACTAGTACATTGATCACTTCATGTGTGTTTTGGAATTTTTAGTGGCGTAATATAGACCAAATTCGCAATTCAAATTGTGATGTGAAAAATGGCGAACATTTGATTTCAAATTTTATGATTACGACATGACCCATAGACAGCGATTTATCTTTGGACGAAGGCCGCAATATAGTGGCCTTAGAAGGTAATCTGAGACTAACATGTATTATGTTTAGTGGCATTCTGTGTCGAAAAAGTTTTTAGACTGTTGTTTTATTGTGTAGATTACGTAAACATCAATTAACAAAAAACAATATAAACATGGATTATAAACGTCAAGGCTCTCTCTAGCCTTGTTCACAGCTACAAATTTTGGCTAAAGATCCTAAAATTTACGGTTCTCCAGCAACTTCTATTTAAAAATCATGAATCACCTCAGCAGTAGCGATGCCAACTTGTTCTGAATCATAGATACTGGCTAATGCTCTTTGAGTACTTTCGAGTTGACGATTTTCAGACATCATTTTTTGCTCCATCAATTGTTCTCGCCGGCTCATGGCGCCACCTTGTGCCCCTGACGCATCAGTGTTATCCCTGGTATAACGACCTTTGTTGCCGAATGAATAAGCATCATCATCGTCCTCTTCAAACGGATTAGAGCCACTTTTTCCATACATTTTTGTGATTTTTATAAAATCGAAAATTTCCTGGTGACGTCAGTTATTAAATTACCTCCAAATAAGAGAGCTCGGAAATGTTTAAACAAGCACCCTCTACGCAGGGTATGTTGTTTCAGGTGCACATTAACACAATACATACATTATGATCGATGAGAGACAATATTTCAGTTTTGCGTAAATGAATATAATTGCATCTATTCTAGATTATCAATTATTTGTTTGAATTTATGGTAAATTGTTTTCTACAATATGTGTGATACTGAACGTTTAGAAAATTAACTCAACCTTTTGAAAGTACAAAAACTATTTTTTTTATATGTATTGCCTGATGTTTTGTCTATGAATATCATTGTGGTATATTTTTGCTTCAAGACTTTTGATCCCCCTCCATCTCTAATTCAGGAATACAGTTTTGTGATTTCACTGACTAGGCACAGCACGGGTGTTACTTCAAGAGCCATCATGGCGTCATGGAAATAACGTCACAACGCATGCGCGTAAATCGACATTTCATGGTCCAAAGATTTCAATGGAGAGCAGTCTTCATCAAAATTTAAAATCTTAATAACTTTTTAGCAAATCATTTATTTTCTTAGGATTCAACGGATCCATGTTAGACCCAACGAAGTGTTCATTTTGATATATAAAACAGCAAAATCCATCCACAGATCTTTCGGCCTTTTAATGATTTAATTTTCGGGATATTTTGCTAAAATCCCCCATTGGCCGCCATTATAAACTTTGAAAAAACCCAAATCCTCATCATTTTATATCATTCGTTAAGTGATCTAAACAACTCCAATCGCTTAGGATTCAACGGATTCTAAGAGATCAAAGCTAATACAATATGTTGACAACCCCCGTTTCAATATTTGCCGCATAATCTTTCGGCCTTTTAGGTTATAAATTTGTCAATATTTTGATTCTCGACCATTAATGACGTACTTGGATCCGAGATTCATTGTCCCGGGATTCATGACGCTAAGTTCCATTATTCTACGCCATGTGCTAGATTTTGAATCTTATGTCAAAATCCTCATAGCTTTCGCAGGAAGTACATGTAACACAGGTGCTGTCAGTGGCATCACAGAAAGTGGAAATAGTTTGACTCATTTGAAATTGGCAAATCAGATCAGTATGTTGTTCTAAGTGCAATTACTGACTCGCTGGTCCATGGGGGGGGGCGTGGGTCCGCCCCTTCCCTTGGGTGGGCCCAGAAAAGATTTTGGGGTCTTGGGTAACATGGCCTTGTTTAATGTATGGCCTCATTTAGTGGGCTGTTTTGGGCATTATTTGGCCTTTATGGACCGTTTTAGGCCAAATTATCAAAAATGGGCCTTAAATCTTCAATTTTTTTTATGATTTGAAAGATGTGACCCCTCCCCATTGTTAGCTGGATCCGGATTGCTATGTACCGTAATTTAAAAAAGCAATATCAGAGTGATCTGATTCAGAGGCAGACAATTAGCCCTTGTGCGGTGTGGTGAGAGCTCACAAGGGCGCCCCCCCCCCCTTTGGTGGGCCCAGAATATTTTTTAGTTTTTGGGCCCAAAAAATGTTTGTAAGGCCTCAAAAAAATCGGTCTTTCTGGGCATTATTTGGCCTAGGCCTTTTTTGGCCAATTTATCAAAAATGGGCCCAACATTGTTCTACAGACTCAAAGTTTGCCCACCCCTCCCTTGTTAATTTCTGGATCCGCCACTGCTTTTACTTTTGATCAGTTTATACGATTTATAGCTAGATTGAAAGATGTAGATCGTATGTGGAATGATTTATGCAGACATATGATTTTAAGAACATGTCTCTGATTTTTGTGCACCTTAAAATATGAACGTATATCAACATGATCCTTCATTTCTGATGCTTTGCTTTGATATACCAGTATTGTAACCAGTAACAGGCCCGTAACCAGGATTTGCCAAGGGGGTTTCAGTTTTCAAAAATTTCCAGGGGGGGTTCACATTTGACAATTTTGGCCCAAATATGGCTAAAATCACTTGAAAAGTGCTCAAAATGGTGAAAAACTGCATGATTTTGAAAGAATTTTTGGCGAGGGGGTGGTTCGCCCGAACCCTGCGAACACCCCCCCCCCCCTGGCTACGGGCCTGAGTAATTATGCCAACTATTATAGTCGCTGTGACTGTCACTTTGACAACGTTGTTTTGTACATTCCTTATTTCAAACCCTGCTAGAATGGTTCGTCTCGATAACATTACTACATCCGGGGTCTTTCACAGCATTACAAAAAGAACGATCGGACGATTTTAGTTAGTTGCTCCTGCAATTTAATTAAATACAACGAATCTCAATGATTTGAATGCGATTTTACCAACTAGGCACTCAGGTAATACATTTTTCATTCACAGAGGTTATTTTATTTGAGAATCTTATGATGTTTTATTGAAAGTTTTAATAAATAAATGATGCAACTTATTTTGCTGAACACTCGCTGACCTCATGCGCACACCCAAGTGACCTTGGCCTATTTTAAATAAAAATATAAACAAATGCACGTGGTTTTGTTTCTGTAAATTGTGATTTGTAATACTAGGGCGTCTAAGATGAAGAAGGTTTGAGATAGTGGTATGGTGTTATGAATAAATGAAGCGATTAACTTTGTTGCCAGGCTGTGCTTGGAAAGTCTTTTTTGGAACCCCTTCACCAACGGGGGGGGGGGTTACTTTATTTGCACATAGCCATCATTTAGATTGATGATGATGATCAATATAGTAAGGGGGGTACTTCCATATATTGGCTTTTGGACGTGCCGCTCAGTGGTTTAGACATGTTTGACAGCCCATGTTGACGATTTTTTGCTGTAACGCTGTTATGTTCTATGTGGTTTTTAGTCCTTGGTTTTTAGTGCTTTCCTTTCAAAACCACACAGAACCTATGTAAATAGCTTGATTGGTTGTATTATATTAATGGTATTATTGAAAGTCTCGCAATCTTTGCTGATCGAAAGCCACTTTTACCACTTGTTATATTTTCTCATATTAAGAATCACAAATTAAGGAATAAAGAATAGAAGACAGATTCTATGCTTTTATGGTACAATATATGAATCATGAATTTGTCTGATTATTGTTAAAAAAATTGAAATTACAAAGCGATTGAGGTCTTTGGTAATGTGCAGAATAAAATAAGACTACTGTAGTTGTTTTCTTATAGTAATCAACATCCTAGGATTTAACAATTTTCTGAAAAGGGTCGGGTTAAGTTCAACAAATGACTAATTATTTTTAAAGTTTTAAGTATCACACTTATAAATGTCAAATCATAATTTGCATTTCAACAAGGTCATCTGGTGCTAAGTTCCATGGATTTATTTTAATCCAATAAGAAATATTTGCTAGAGCAATAAATTAAATAAAGTTTAATTGTCAGATTTCTATAAACTGAAATACAGTTACTGACCTGAAAACTACACATCGGACCATATGCAGGGGTTTCATTAGCAGCAGGCAACAGGCGATTTTCACTGGTTGTTTTCACAAAATTGCCTGTTGTTTTTAGGGACTTTTCAACTTTTCCATGTTAGATTTATGATTTCCATTAATGTTGCCAGTTGTTTTCATTTATTTAGCCTCTTGTGAGAAATTCTAGTGAAACCCCTGATATTGCCAAAAAAGTGAGTGACTTGCAGTTTGATCCTTGCACTTGATTTCATATCAGTGGTGGCTGAGCCATAGCCCATTCTCTCTCTCAGGGCCCAACCTGGATTTTTTTTAAATTTTTGGCCTTTTTAGAAATAAGCCTCAATTTACAATGTGTTGCAACAGATTCACTTCCATCTTGACAATACTGTATCAAGTACATCATGTTCAATCTGGAAAGTATATGCAGATTGTTGTAAAAATGCCCTAAAGGTAGTTTTTCTTTAGAAATCTAATTCTTTCACCTGATATGACCCTTCTTTGATACTGTACATAGCCATTATGTTTCTTTACTAAATACAATTGCAAATGTCCTATAAAAATGTAAAATTTCATTCTCCATGGCAACTGATCTCCAATGTTCATGTTGAGATTAGAAAGGTGTTTTGATTATGCAGGTTTTATTTTATTCATTTTATTGACCATTAAATAACATGTAAGTTGTAATTGTTAATCATATTTATTATTGGTAAATCGGGTTCTGAGCTTAGCTGCTTTTAACACAAAGATTTGCCACCAAGTAGCATGTTATATTCAGGTAGTGAATTGTTAATTAAGGTGGATTTGTCACTTGTTACTGATACTGGCAGTGCTAATATTGAACTCTGCGTGTTTTAAAATGTAAAACTGAACTTTTGTATCATATGAATTGCCAGCAAGGTGAATTAGCGGCCAATGTTACCATGACTTAATGACTTAACCTATCTTGTCATTAGTGTCAATGTTGCCATTTGTAGCAAATTTGTACCACTATAAAAGGGAGGAATAACCTCCCATCATACCATGGCTCTATCTTCATAACTACCTCGCGGCATTGGCTGGGTACTGGGTACAAGCATCAACACAGTTTCCAGTTTACTTAATATTTTTCATTCATTTATTTTCAGATTTTTCAGTTTTTTCAAAGTTTATTTCGGTCACTACCATCAGTTAAGATGACCACTACTAGGGCGCAAACCAAAGAGATGTGGCGAACGGCTGACGCTGTGTGCTTCGATGTGGATTCCACAGTTATACAGAATGAAGGCATTGATGAATTAGCAGCATTCGTTGGTGCAGGAGACAAAGTCAGTGAACTGTAAGTTGTCACGTTGAATAATCTCATTTAGTCAAAATACATGAAGTGTTCTCCACAGGATTTTTTGTCAAGAAGGTTCATATTTCTAATTTACACAATTCAGACTGATAGGTCAAAATATGTCCCTTTTCATGTTTTTTCTCATTTTCAAGGGGGTGCAAACAAATGAATTTTCAGGTTGGTGTATGTAAGCCTATTTTTAAAATATCAGATGGGTGCTGCACCCACTTGAATTGCTTTATGCTGGGAGACCACTACAAGTACAGGAGACCGTCAGTGAATTGTTGTGAAGTTGTCAGGTTGAATAATCTCAAAGTCAAAATGTATTGGTGCAAAAGATGATGATTAAATCATTTGTTAATTACAGGAACAATCAAGATTTGATGCAAGGTATATCATATCAAATCATGGCCATCAGGGGCGGATTCAAAAACCAACGGGGGGGGGGCAAATTTCAAGTCTGAAAAAAGTTTGCTTGCACTGAAAAACATTCTGGGCCTCTAAAACTGGGCCCCAAAATTGTGCCCAAATTATGAAATTTTAGGCCCATTTTCCTGATAATTTGGCCTAAAATTTAAAAAAAAGACCAAGAAGGCCCAGTAATACCAAAAGGCCCACTGATTGCTGTAATGCAGATGTATTTGTTATAATTTTGCTGCACAAATTAAATTCAATCAATCATCAGATGAGACTTGCGAAGGTTATATTATATTGAATAGGTCAATATGACTGCTATTCCCAGGTACCCGGCTTACAGCTTAACAATATCTTATCATGCTCTTCACACGTGATAGCTATATCACTTTAATATTCAAACGTGACTTGTAGAAGCCGCACAATTCAAAAGTTACATTTTTTTCTCTTACAATGGGCATTTCGTATAGAAATGCTGTATGTACATTCTTGGGAAGTTTTAGGACACAGAAAACAAGGTACACCTGAAGTTCCACCTTTTTCAAATACAATGTACCTCAATACATATAATTTATAATTAGTCTTAATTTTCAATTACTGAAATACATGGCAATAGCAAGCAAAAAAATGAAAGACTGGTATTTGATATGTTAAGGATAACTTAAAAAATCCTAGTTCACCTTCAACTTTTACACTTGACTTTCAAGCACCTTGAAGAAAATTTAACAGTAATTCAATTTGATACATATCCTTGAATTGGATGTCAGAATAGTCATTAACTTTGTCCATTTATACGTTCAACCTCCATGTGTCGCACATCCTAGTTTTTTAAATTTAGAATTTTATTTTTAGACGCATTCAACCTTGTACATTGTACTCATTCACACATGTGCCACATCCTGATTTATTCTGAGTGTTCATTAATTTTTCAATTAGGATCTCATATTGCTTTTGCGTTCAATATTTGACGATAATACAACAGCTGATTTTCGCCGATTGTTTTCAGCAAAATTGCCTGTCATGGTAGTGACATATTGTTGCAAAAAGCTCTGTTGACTGTTAGGCCCAAAAAGGACTTGATACAACTTCCTGTGTAGTCTCCAGCTTTTTTGTGGCGTCATTCCATGGTTGATGTTCAATGTTTGGTGTTAAGTATTCAGTGTCTGTAAGAAATGGGAGGTGGTGACATTTTGCATGGTATGCCTTGTATAAACTGTGCAACAGTTACCATGTTGAAATGATTAATTTTCAATAATTTTGCCTGTTATCAAAAAATTATGGAAACCCATAATATATATAGTTAGTGAGTACATTTTCAGTGATATGGTTTATTTGGACTTTTATTGTGTTAGGTTTCTCTTCAAATCTTGCCTTTAGTATGTACAGGGTGGTCCAAAAAAATGGGACACTCATATTTCAAAAATAAATATTGATTTTCTTGATGAAAACATGTCATATTATATACCAATGGATAGGGAATTTACTCATCTTTAATTTGGTATATGATAAGTTCAAATTTATTATAATATATGTCAACCAGCGTCCACAATATAAATGACGTCATTTTCGTTTCAAAACGGGTTTTCCAAAACTTGCAAAAACCAAGTTTTATTGTCAACTTTATTTACATAAACAGACATTCAATATGTCCAACGTTTTGATCAATTATAGCCCTCAATTTTGGCCTAAACTGATCAATAGCATCTACATCAGTACTTTCTTCAAATGAGTGCATTATCTTCAAATGTTGACCTTTGGCAAATACTCTTCAAATACTTGCCTTTCAGCAGGTGTGTAATCTCACTTAAATATCACAATAAAAGGAACAATAACAAAGACTCCAGAAAAATCAATTTAGACTCCAGAAAAGCTATAGGACTCTTAGCAAGAGGGTCTAAAGACATTAGACCCCGGAGAATCTTTGGAGTCTAAAAGCCTAGTGAGAACCCTATCTGTTTCTGTGAACTGAAGAATCTGTATTTACATCTACTTGTAAAAACAATAATCAAGGCTGTTCATGGGCCTGAATTATAAACTGCATTTAAAAAGGATAAAACAACAAAGTAAAGTGTATTCTTCAATATTTCAGCACCAAAAAGGCCATGGGTGGTGGCATGACATTCCGTGAAGCATTATCTATACGACTGAAGATTATTAGGCCATCTATTAACCAACTCACAGATTTTATCAACCATAGACCTCCAGCACTTACACCAGGAATAAGGTAAGCCCAAAGTCGTCAAATAATTAATGAGAAGGTCAAAATCAGTTGTAACCATGGAAATTCTAATATATATGTTACAAGTCAGGTTTTAATAACATCACAATTTCCTTAAAATTATTTCACTTTGTTTCATGTCAGCTTTTACATTTCACTTACAAAATTGCCAATTTATCAAATTTCACTTTGTTTCATGTCAGCTTTTACATTTCACTTGCCAAATTGCCAACTTACCAAATTTCACTTTGTTTCATGATAGCTTTTACAATTCACTAACCAAATTGCCAACTTACCAAATTTCACTTTGTTTCATGTCAGCTTTTACATTTCACTAAACCAAATTGCCTTTGCGACATTTGTAAATTGTTAAAGTATGCAGTCTCTCAGGAGAGACAAGTTAAGTGTAATGTCGCTAACTTAAAGACACACGGTTTTTTTCGGGGCAGCGACCGGCAATACGAATGTCGCCTCAGTTTAATAATAAACTTCATTATTTTGCAGCACTCTAGTCTCATTACTACATCAGAGAGGAGTTGATGTATATCTCATATCTGGAGGATTTAGGGAACTCATAGAGCCAGTAGCAAAAATACTCAACATTCCCAATGACAACTTATTCTGCAATCGTATCAAATTTTACTATGATGGTAAGTCCTCAGTTTGTATCCAGTTCCTGGTCACACCTAGCTTTATTTTAGATTTATTTATTAACATGATTAAGTTAGGGCTAGAGAGGATGTGATAGTATATTGTTGGACTTCATTTTCAGTTTCATTAGAAAAAATTGTCGTGAAAAAGATTTTTCTGAAAAATTGGCTAAATAGTTGTCTCAACTGCATCGTGCATGTGTGACATTTCATATGAATAATTTCAACACGCATTATAAAAATAATCTTCAATGATGATTTTTAAGTTAATAGAGATGTTAAATGTTGGGCTTCAGTTTTGAAAGAAAATCAAAAAAGCGTCTTATATATTCTTATTTACAGGCGATTATGCTGGATTTGACGAGCATCAACCAACTTCTGAGTCCGGGGGTAAAGGACGCGTCATCAATCTGTTGAAGTCTAAATATGACTACAAGAAACTTGTGATGATCGGGGATGGTGCTACAGACATGGAAGCCTCACCCCCAGCAGTAAGTTTCCCCAGTCAATGTCACCCCAATGATTAGAGATTTGAACTGTTCAATATTGTCATCTGCTAGAAATTTTATTTTTGCTAAGTAAATTTATATTAAATTAGACTCTAAAATTATATACACTGCACCTGGTGTAAGTGTTTTAAAATGTGATTTAGGGAGATTAAGCTTTACTTGTTCAAGAACATCACATCGGAATAGCCTGACAACGGTAAAGTCAGATACCGTTGTCACAAATGGCGGACAAACTGTCGCTTCAATAAGGTTTTCATGAACTGTATGTTTAATAGAGCACCTAGACTAAATTCCTTGTGAACAACAATCAATCAAAAAGTCTTTATACTCATTGTACAGTTAATAATGTTCTACCATCGGAATAAAGTCTTTAATCTGATCAAAATGAGATACGGGACAACGGACACTGTAATCACCATATGCCGTTGTCTTTCAATTAGTTTAATTCAGATTCCGTTGTCATTGACAATATTGAAGAGGCTATATTGTGGCGATTCACAACCCAATTTGATTGAAAATGGGATTTTGTATGAAACATCATCACAAGAGCTTACCGTTGTCAGGCTTTTCCGGTGTGAACATAGGCCTCTAAGGATTAGTTCTCCCCTTTATCGGTGTTTGTAGTGTTAACTTTCCCAATTAATTATAAAATTAAATTGTTTGGGATTAGGTCCCTTGGAAAAACAATTTAGAGGTAGACATTATTCTTTGGTGGATGAGGCTCATGATAAATGCATGTTCACAACATTCTCTTAATAAATGAATAGCTTGACCCCCCCACAATTATTGATTCTTGGTAAAAGTTAAAAAAGCAACTTTCACATTTCAGGATGCATTTATCGGCTTTGGTGGCAATGTTCAGCGACCAGCTGTTAAGAAAGGGGCCCCTTGGTTCATTGAAAACTTCCAGGAGTTAATAAATGAGCTTGACGGCACTGCTGAGGACAATAGTGATGATATGGAGTCCTAATCTTGGGAGTCTAAAAACGTTATATATTTTAAATTGCATTGTTTTTAGTCATTCAATGAATAGATACTTAGAGGTGGGGGGTGATCGATTAGAGCTCCAGAACTTCTAAGACCCCATCAATTTGTTTTTGAAAATCATTGATATATTATAAATTTTTAAGACAAGTAAAAGTAAAAAGTATGAGGTGTAAGAAATGGGTATAGAAAACGCTCCAGGAGTTCACAGTTATCCTGACAAAGTATCTGTGTGATCAATGGTCCATGAATTCATTGAAGTGAACTATATTCATTCATTGAACTCTAAATGTCCTTGAGCCCAAATTTGTCCTCAAACGAGCGATGAAACCTAAATAGATGCACTGAATCCCGTAGCTTCATTCTTAAACCTCTTATACCTAAACATTTTTTGGCCTCATGCTTTTTATTATTGATAGTTTTGTTATTAATAGCTCCCCCACCTCTAACGTTGCAGTCAGTGTACACGAGGCAGCGTCCATATACCCCTTTATTCACCAGATAGGGCTGCATTGACTTGCAGTGACTATTGTGCCATACAAATTGACAGTATCACCTTATCAACAGTGCAGCCTCCTTTGCTGATTGGGAATTCTGGGAGGCATTATCCTCTCTGGTCATTTGTCATTTGCACAAAAATGCAGAATTATTGTTTAAAAATTCAGGTATGCCATTGCCATCCTCCTTTGAATGCTCAAAAATGGCTATTTTGCCATAAAAATTCTGGGAGACAATCCTCCATGGAAAGAAAGAACAGAGTACTTATGAGGATCTCAATGTTGAATTAAACTGAATGACAATATCAACTGAACTGTTTTGCAGTTGGTGTTTTTGAACTATGGGAGTCACACCTCCTTTGAATTTTTATTGAACTATGGGAGTCACACCTCCTTTGAATTTTTAGTGTAAAGAATTGATCTCAACGTTTAAAACTACTGGGGAACAATAGAAAGATTTACAAACATGACATTTAGTGAGCATTAATTGTGACAAGTTATTTTTGTATATCTTACATATGATATTTTAGAGGTAACGGGTAATATTCCCATCCATTTCTTCATGTATGTTTCTAGCAATCTGATTGGTCTATTTTTCTATCGGCTGACAAGTTTGGTTTTTGAAATGACCCAGTCGGTAGTTGATTACCAGATATTTCATATGTAAATTTCTTATATGTTTAGACTGGAGGTTTATGTTTCAACGTGCTTTTTGTTTATTTTGAATTTTTTGTTACCATGTACGATTTAATGAATGAATGTATCATTGTATAATATATACATGGAATATGTCAATTTGAATTTTTTATTGTATGAATTACATCTATATATGGAATTGGTCAATTTGTGTACAATATGTTTTCAATTCAATTTATGCTTGGTGTTGGTGTACACCGTTTTTGTTACAATGTATTTTATGTATATGAAACAGCGCACACATAAAGATAAACATCTTGCCTGAAATGGAGATCCAATCCAGGTCGAAGGTGTCAGTAACTTACATATAATAATAGGACATATATTGTTTTTACAGAAGGCCAGTTAATTCATGTTTCACAATCATGTCTATTATGTCATTCCATTATAATATACAATTTATAACAGTAAAACCTGTGTTAATGGAACACCTCATCTTTGTTCACTAGACTCCCATCGGTCGATGAATGCAGTGAAGACCGACCATGCGAAGATGGGAACCTTTGGTAACTTAAAATAGTTTCACTATGGAGGGTTTCATCTACGAGAGGTTCGTTTTACAGTTAATGGGTAACTGGACACTCGAAAGGTGTTAAACGTTGAGAGGTTAATTTTAGATTAAGTAAATCAGTGATCTCCCTAGGATTTTTTCTCAGGTGGCTGCAAAATTCTCATCTTCATGATTCAGACCAAAATTGGTCAAAATATGCCAATTTTTCATGATTTTCAAGTGGGTGCAAATGGATTTTCAGGTGGGTGCAATCCCATTTTCAAAATCTCAGGTGGGTGCTGTGCCCACTTGCTTTAATGCTGGGGAGATCAGTAAATCCATTACATGAATTGGAAAAGTGTCCCACTTATAGAGGTGCCCCATTTTACAGGTTTTACTGAACAATGTTCTTCATAATAGTGCACGAAATCACAATTCCAAAACAATATGCATGAACTCAGGGTTACTTATGAAATTGCAATACAACTGCAAGTGTGGATCTGGAAATAGCTTTGCAAATCCATTGGGCTTCTTTTTTAAAGATATCTCATGAAAGCAAAAAGGCTCAAAATGAAAAAAGTCAGGGTTGAAAACATTTTTGTCGTCCTCCTTAGGTGAATGAGAAGAGAGAAGAGAATGGCAAAAACTGTAAACTGTTATTTGTTGTGTTTTTGAGAACTGTTGAATTTCAAGTCTGAGTAGTATCTTATGTACTCGGAAACGATGTTGAATTATACAGGAGGGTTCTGTACCAAGATATGGGTTCTGTAACAAGATGCATGTCTTTACTACAGAAGCATAGTTTAAAGTATTGTTCAGGAATCTTGCTGTTTTAGTCACATGGGATGGTTTAGACCTGTTTCAAAACATACCCATGAGCAACATATTATACCAGAATGGGTTAGGTACTGTATGTACATTGTACTTGCCCGTAGCCAGCTTTTACCAGGAGGGGGAGCTTTTTTCCAGGGAGGGGGAGCTTTTTCACAATTTTGGCTAAAAATTATGCAAATTCTCAGAATGGTGAAAAACTACATGATTTTGAAAGAATTTCTGGCCAGGGGGGGGGAGCTTCTGCTCCCCCAGCTCCCCCTCTGGCTACGGGCCTGTTGTATTAGGCCATCGGCTTGGAGGGTCTATTGGTATCAAATAAGAGAATTATGTTCATTGTGAATATTCTCGACTTTTAGTGTGTAAACCTAGTGTTATGAACGATAGTAAAAATTGGAGCACAAGTTCTCTTAAAATAATGCATATTGCATATGGATATCATACCTGAGTGCATATTGCATATGGATATCATACCTAAGTGCATATTGCATATATGGATACTAGATGCATATTGCATATAGATAAGTGCATATAGGTTTACATTGTGAATTATGTTGCTGAAAATGCATATTTTGAATAAAGATAATAAGAAAGATTGTTAGGATCTTTATCTTAATTTGATTTTGATTGATGAAAGGGTGAATTTGTTATCACATCAAACAAAGTTCCAGAAGGAATATTGAGAATTTCTATGTTGTTCATTTGAATCCATTCATCTATATTACCAATAATTCAAATTTCATTGGCCTGGATCGTTCATATTTTATGTGCGTTTATCCTATGTGAATACAAGTTCTGCTCGTTAACTGATTTTAAGTATGGTAGCTTGTTTCAAAATAGCTGCCATTCTATATAAAACTGTAATATTGTTTTAGGTTAAATTAAAAATCTAATTATTCTGAATATCGGCTTTTGATCAGAACTTGTACTCACACGGGACATATACGTACATGTATATAATATAAGCGGTATTGGGCAAACGATATATGATTTATTGTACGGACGGATGAAGCAGTTTTCTATATCCCCCACATAATATTTAGTGTGGAAATTAGACTTTGTCAAAATTAGAGCCATTCTAGTTAAAAAAAATATGACTACTCTTGATGACACTTTAAGTGCAATTAAATTATAGAAAGTACATGTACAGAATATGCAACAATCACTTGATGCAAAGTATATGACGCACACATCAAATTCTAGATAGGTGGCATACTATAACCAATAATCCACAATTTTTGATACCTTTGATGATAAAAAATTGTGAATGCTATATATCCCTTTATTGCATCATAAGAACGCAGGGCTTTAGACACCATTCACTTGTTCTTTCCTTGTCGAAAATATAACAAATCAGAATCTCAATAGGTTCTGGGCCGATATAAAGATGGCAGCACCAGAAATAAACACAGATCGATTACCATGCCATCTTTAATTAAAAATTATTTCTCTCAACCTTTGCATTTGAGAATCTCATACCCTCCCGGCCTACTACAGTATAGTCTTGCGTCAATACTATCGACCCCCACCCCATCTACTTCGAATTCACCAACACAACATGAGGAGGTGTGTATATGTGGGAGGAGCTCAGAAGGGCTTGTAGCTCTACTAAGTACAATCCTAACTAATTGCAACGAGGAAGAAGAAAGGATGATGCCTTCGTTCGGATCATGCTTCATCGCCTTTCAAGTTTTAAACGACATTAGCACTGGTGATCCACTCGATTACGCTGGCTACCAAAACGGTTCGTTTTGGTAACAAAATGTCGGAAGATCCGGAAGGTACGATTTTCTCGTTTCCTTATTTTACACGTTGTAGGCAGAATTACCACGACATGTTCTAACACAAACGTGTATCAGTATCATATGTTTAAGGAATTGTACATATTTGCGAACAAATAGTTCAGAAGATAACAGAATCGTCGATTTACTTCCTCACTTAAGTTACATAAACGGTTTGGGTTAAAAGTGCAGATCTTAACTGTTTTTCGAAAAACCGTTTATGTAACTTAAGTGAGGAAGTAAATCGACGATTCTGTTGTCCTCTGAGCTATTTTTTCGCAAACCAGTCAAGTCAAGTAAGTAAGTCAACATTCGAAAAGAAAAATCTCAAAAATCGTACATCTTTGATTTCCAAAATAATTTGTGAGGTGGTTATTAAGATGGTAATACACATTTTAACGTATTAATTTTGAGTACATCTCGAATCCATTCGCAACAAAGCGTTCTCGATATAAGTATTCGAAATGTTTGAGTTCGGGATTATAAAAGTACGTTAAGATATACCGCTCCTTAACAAACTCCTTTGGGAACAAGACATAGAATCAAATGCATATTCTTCTTATTCACTCCCTGACACATGCCAATGAATGTTACACAAGTAAATATCTCCGTTTTAAATAATTTTGAAAACGCTGTTTTCTACAGGTGCCATTTTTCATAATTGAAAAACAAAATTGAACATTTTGCATTTCTAAATTGATAAGTGTCTTGGAATACAACTTAATTGTAAACGATTTAAGTCATTAATAATATTTCCCTTAGTGATCCCATGCTAAATAGACAGTAATTGGGTCAATGTCTTGTGTTCCACCTTGTTTTCATGACTTTTAAACATGAGCCGACGATTATGTAGGAAATTTCATTTCCAAATGAAAGCGTGTCAACTCCTGTTTTTGCACAATATTTAGCCTTTTATAATGATAGATCGCCAAAATCTGCACGTAGCTCTTAATTAGGCGATATGGTTTTAAATTTATAGATGTAAGCAATAAACTCAAACAAAAATTCAAACCACCCGCTATAATTTTGATTACACAAGACGAAATTTCCACTCCCGGGGAGCACTTTGGTAACACTTTGAAAGAGGATTCTTGAAAAATCGTTCGAATTTTCACAAAAGGTTTCACGTAATTTTATTGCTTCGTTTAAGCCTCGACTTATATCATACTCAAATCTGATACCATAATTATAAATTAAAATGAAACATTAAACTCACCAGTTTATATGATAAACCGTTTCGAGAATTGATGATTTGAGTTAACTGTGGATATTTATAAAAAATGTAAGTCGGCATGTATTCGACAGTTAATGTACACACATGATGTATCCATAAACGTGTGACTAAAATATCAATTCGTGACTATCACATTTGGCTTCCAAAAATTGAGTTGGAAGTTACAGTGGTAGGAGATTAACGAAAACGTCAATCACATCCAAATATCCGAACGACGTCAAGTATTAACAATATACTTTTCGTGCATCTCGAACAAGGCAAGGTTCTGTTATCCAGCAATGTGCATTCCGAAAGAAAAAATTCACAAATAGCAACAAATTTCATTGAGTAGGATATTACATTCGAAATCACAACTTTCAAATTATTTGTTTTAACCAAGAATTGTATAAGAACTTGAAACATGTTGTTAGTTTTTCAAACCGCATATCCTCATTTACCTTCTTTGACAAATATGAATCCATTTGAAAACATGGATTTTCTTGATTATTCTTCAATACTACCCTTGAAATATAAGTATGTAGGATATTACAGTGTAAATTGACACGCATTTGTTTGCTCCTTATCATGAACAAATAAATGCAGTACCATCTTGCAATATTTTAGGAGACCACTCAAATGTTCCACCTCTAATACCACGAAAAATCAAGTCAAATTGGGTTAAAGATAGTCCCAGATTGTTTTTACATTTCATTTGATAAATGTTGAGCCAGTGTATTAATGAGTGTCCAAATATCAAAACGGGTATTTTACTCATGGTTGTATTTGTACATATATACTATTATATACGTAATCAAAGTTATTAAATCACTTCACTCACCGAATGACGGTAGACGTAGTCCAAATCCTTACGGTTATCCCGAAGTGTCCAAATGTAGGGCGAACAATATATATTGTTAACAGTTCCACAACATATATAAAATGTATTTATATATGTAATATTTCCAAATATAGCAATATAAACTGATAAAGTGTGAATACTAGTATAGTATTAATAATATTATTTCATAAACTTGTATTAACACAGAAAATATATTTGAAGTGTTCTTCTGCTGTGTACGTCTCTGCTTTAAGAAATAAAGAATGTGAACCACTCACATTCCCAAGCTCCGCCCACTAATTATAATAATGACTGTGATAATAGACAAGACGCTATGTTCATAAAAACACTTATTTGGAATAAGTGAATATTTATGGTTAGTTCATAATGAAAAATGACAAATAACATACATCTTTTGAAGTAGGGATATACAGGGACACAGTGGAAAATCACAAATTTAGGTCATATCCCAAAGATTGCTTCACCAATATGTAATAGAACATCAAAATTATCATTTACACGTTTGCTAATAGGTTTATTGAAAATAATTACCCAGAGGTTTACATCAATTGTGGCACCATTCTTAGTAAATACTGATGAACATACGATTATCGAATGTTGACTAAGTTACTTGGCTTGACCGAAACATGTACATTTTCTAAAACATATGATACTGCTGCACGTTGTGAGAAAAAACGTCGTAGGGATTCTGCCTACAACGCGTGAAATAAGGAAAAAAGAAAAATCGTGCCTTCGACGTTCCGACATTTTGTTACCGAAACGGTTCGTTTTGGTAACCAGCGTAATCGAGTGGATCACCAGTGATTAGGTGGACAGTCAAGTTTTAACAAGAAAGACAACTGGAGTTGAAAGATCTGTTAGTTTTGCTTCAAGACTGAGACCCCCTCCCCCCTATGTACTTCACATGTTGGGAAGGTGAATTATACAGTGGGAGTACACAAGACTATAGATTTGTAATTTGAAAAACAAGACGTCATTAGGAACTTCCTCCAAGTAGCTTTTGATATAATTATCAAAATAACAAACATCAACACAATTTAAAATAATATTTGACTTGAGCTTTATTTTATTGTAAAATTTTAAAATTGTTAGATTGATGTAGAATAGTTGGTATGTTAAATTGACGATATAACAAAAATATACATATGCAGTCTATTTGCACCATGTCAAGTTTAAGTGATGGATAATTACTTGACATGTGTTCATGGTCCATCAGGGTGAGTAATTTGTTGTAGCTCTCCGTTAGACTGTTTATATATTTTGACACGATAAATGTTCAATCTATTTTTGAGCAATACTTCTTGAACTCAATAAAACACGTGTGTGACTGTTGGCACGACACATATACGAACTAGATAACTTTGAGCACATTATTCTTGAGTAAAAAAATAGTGGTACATTTCGAAACTGATTGCACAATCTCTGTTTCAACAATAAATATGAAAAAAATTTGACTTGAAAAAATACCATGATTTTACAATATGTACAATAAAGATTGTATATAAGCACACCATACTTGCATGGAAATAATTGCACATTTCGAATTTGATTGATCTATGATTGACTGTTTGTGTTTCAGCAAATATGTGAATAAAATACAGTTTACCAATTGAAAGAATAGTGAAGCATAGAGAGATATTCGTTAGGTGCTTTATCTGAGCTCTCATATATTCAATACATTCTTGTTTTGACAATTGATCGAACAGATTGTTTTGAGTTTTCGTTATTTTCAAGATACTATTTTCAGTACTAAAGGTGTTAAATAGAGAAAAGGGGCATTCACTAAAGGGGTGGCCTGTATGTACTAGATAATGTGATTCATGATAGTTTCGTTTAGTGTAAATACAAAGATTTGTCTTTATGGCTCAATATCGTGATTTGCGACGAGGATGGTTCTGAAACTAAATATAGTACATTAAACTGTGAATGTTGTACAAATTACGTTGTGGGGTGTTGACGAATTGCCAAATGAAATAATTGTCGGTAATGTTCTTCAAAATTTCTCCGGAGACTGTCTTTAATGGGGTGAAAATCACAATTTGGTAATAATCTAAAAACAAAATCAGATGCTCGACGGGTTGGTTGATATGGTGATATGATTTTAGACTTCTTTGTAGGATAAATTTGACATTGCCTTTACTGACCTGTATAAAATATATAACTAACAACATCATTGCTCACAATTTGCGTTATTAAGATGTCCCTTAACCTGATCGCATCGTGGGCAACCATGACATATATTTCAAAGGCTCGCGATGTTAAGATTGACGTTTGGCCTTATCAATAGTTGTTAACATGTTAACTGATTGGATCGTGGGTGACCGTGACCTATATTTTCAAAGGCTCGCGATGTTAAGATTGACGTTTGGTCTTATCAATTGATGTTAACATGTTAACTGATTGGATCGTGGGTGACCGTGACCTATATTTCAAAGGCTCGCGATGTTAAGATTGACGTTTGGCCTTATCAATAGTTGTTAACATGTTAACTGATTGGATCGTGGGTGACCGTGACCTATATTTTCAAAGGCTCGCGATGTTAAGATTGACGTTTGGTCTTATCAATTGATGTTAACATGTTAACTGATTGGATCGTGGGTGACCGTGACCTATATTTCAAAGGCTCGCGATGTTAAGATTGACGTTCGGCCTTATCAATAGTTGTTAACATGTTAACTGATTGCATCGTGACCTATATTGCAAAGGCTCGTGAAATTAAGGTTGGCGTTCGGCTTTATCAATAGTTGTTAACATGTTTACTGATTGGAGAACCGTGACCTATATTTCAAAGGCTTGCGATGTTAAGGTTGACGTTTGGTCTTATCAATAGCTGTTAACATGTTAACTGATTGGATCGTGGTTGACCGTGACCTATATTTCAAAAGCTCGCGATGTTAAGGTTGGCGTTTGGCCTTATCAATTGATGTTAAAATGTTAACTGATTGGATCGTGGTTGACCGTTACCTATATTTTCAAAGGCTCGCGATGTTAACGTTGACGTTCTGCCTTATCAATAGCTGTTAAAATGTTAACTGATTGGATCGTTGGTGACCTTGACCTATATTTCAAAGGCTGGAGATGTTAAGATTGACGTTCGGCCTTATCAATTGATGTTTAAATGTTAACTGATTGCATCGTGGCCAACCGTGACCTATATTTCAAAGGTTCGGGATGTTAAGATTGACGTTCGGCCTTATCAATAGCTGTTAACATATTAACTGATTGGATCGTGGGTGACCTTGACCTATATTTCAAAGGCTGAAGATGTTAATGTTGACGTTCGGCCTCATCAATAGCTGTTAACATGTTAACTGATTGGATCGTGCGTGACCTTGACCTATATTTCAAATGCTCGTGATGTTAAGGCTGACGTTCGGCCTTATCAATTACTGTTAACATGTTAACTGATTGGATCGTGGGTGACCTTGACCTATATTTCAAATGCTCGTGATGTTAAGGCTGACGTTCGGCCTTATCAATTACTGTGAACATGTTAACTGATTGGATCGTGGGTGACCATGACCTATATTTCAAATGCTCGTGATGTTAAGGCTGACATTCAGCCTCATCAATTACTGTTAACATGTTAACTGATTGGATCGTGGGTAACCGTGACCTGTGTTTCAAAGGCTTGCGATGTTAAGGTTGACATTCGGCCTTATCAATTGATGTTAACATGTTAACTGATTGGATCGTGGGTAATCGTGACCTATATTTCAAAGGCTCGCGATGTTAAGGCTGACGTTCGGTCTTATCAATAGTTGTTAACATGTTAACTGATTAGATCGTGGGTGACCGTGACCTATAATTCAAAGACTTGCGATGTTAACGTTGACGTTCGGCCTTATCAATAGTTGTTAACATGTTAACTGATTGGATCGTGGGTAACCGTGACCTATAATTCAAAGACTTGCGATGTTAAGGTTGACGTTCGGCCTTATCAATAGCTGTTAACATGTTAACTGATTGGATCGTGGGTAACTGTGACCTATATTTCAAAGGCTCGCGATGTTAAGGTTGGCGTTCGGCCTTATCAATAGCTGTTAACATGTTAACTGATTGGATCGTGGGTAACCGTGACCTATATTTCAAAGGCTCGCGATGTTAAGGTTGGCGTTCGGCCTTATCAATTGATGTTAAAATGTTAACTGATTGCATCATGGCCAAGCGTGACCTATATTCCAAAGGCTTGCGATGTTGACGTTCAACCTTATCAATAGCTGTTAACATGTTAACTGATTGGATCGTGGGTAACCGTGACCTATATTTCAAAGGCTCGCGATGTTAAGGTTGGCGTTCGGCCTTATCAATTGATGTTAAAATGTTAACTGATTGCATCATGGCCAAGCGTGACCTATATTCCAAAGGCTTGCGATGTTGACGTTCAACCTTATCAATAGTTGTTAACATGTTAACTGATTGGATCGTGGGTAACTGTGACCTATAATTCAAAGACTTGCGATGTTAAGGTTGACGTTCGGTCTTATAAATAGCTGTTAAAATGTTAACTGATTGGATCATGGGTGACTGTGACCTATATTTCAAAGGCTCGCGATGTTAAGGTTGACGTTGGCCTTATCAATAGCTGTTAACATGTTAACTGATTGGATCGTGGGTGACCTTGACCTATATTTCAAAGGCTCGCGATGTTAAGGTTGACGTTCGGTCTTATCAATAGTTGTTAACATGTTAACTGATTGGATCGTGGGTAATCGTGACCTATAATTCAAAGACTCGCGATGTTAAGGTTGACGTTCGTCCCTTTCAATGGCTGTTAACATGTTAATTGATTGGATCGTGCGTCACCGTGACCTATATTTCAAAGGCTCATGATGTTAAGGTTGACGTTCGACCTCATCAATAGAAGTGTTGTTGGGAAATGGTATGGTTCGTTCTGGAACATTTCTCTTGACTATTTAAACTTTCTGACAAAATGACTTCGGTTTAGTTATGACAGTGACGTACAAGACAAATGTACATGTTTTCCAAATACTGAAACCACTTAAGACGAAAATGAATATTTGCGAACCGTAATTTATACTAGAGAGCTCTATTTAACGAGATCTAGAATTCTAAGTAATTACGAGCAGACGATATTTTCAGGATCTCTATTTAACGGGATCCCTATTAATGTAGAATGCAACTAGAGAGCTCTATTTAACGAGATCTAGTTTAAATTGCAAAGAATTAACTACAGTTAAGAAATCTCATTCAAGTCTCGCGTGATTCGAGAATTCATAAAACACGAGCATCCGTCTTGTTCATCATCTCGTCAGAACCAAAATCAAACTCGACTTGTCAGGAAGTGTTTGAATTTGCAAGAAAAAACTTTCAGAAATATAACGCATCCTTACTTCAGTTTTCTGTTGTCTACCATCATAAATAGGTTCATCAGTCATCATCATCAACCAATTGTCTAACCTGTAGGCAAGGACGTCTATATAGACGTCCTTGCTGTAGGGGACTACTAGTCTAGTGTCAACTTTAAAAGTGTGATCTTTTGAACGATAGATCAACAATTAAAAAAGGGCCAAACGATTATGAAAGTTAAGTTACCGAGGAAAGTGGAAGGCAGGTCAAAAATCAAATAGGAAATGGATCAAGAAACACTATGTAAATACAGTTTATTACCAATACGCAATAGAAATGCAAAAATGGCAAGTATGAAAAACTGAACCATCCTCGTCGCGCTCTGGGTGAACCTAACATTTACATATTTGCTAATATGGTGCTTTTTATCTAACTCTCTTTGCTGCATCGCTTAATCTGGCTCTTGCTTTTTCATACGAGGCATCACTATCATTCTTATGTATTTCCAGGTTTCGAGCTTGTCCAGCTGCCCACTGCAAAATAAAACAGTAAATCATTATTTGTATTTGTTATTGCACATCTTACGATCGTGGCGGTGTTATAGACGCTAAAATGATATTAATTATGATTATATAATATTTATAAATCGATGTCAGTGTTGATTTTAATGTGACATTCATTTATATTTAATTTTTTATTATATAATTTGATGTTAGCATTGGGATTTAATTGAATAAAGCCTAGAATTAAAGACGTTAAATGAGACCAAAGAATCTTACATAATCCAAACTGTGTTGGGCTCTTCCCCGTTTTTCTGCGATCGCACGCTTATGATTTGCTTCTGCGCGGCGCATCCTGTCTTCCAGTTTCTGTGCTTTAGTTCGCTGCTGGTCCTGTTGATGTTTCAACCTGCGAGCTTGGATGGATACCCGTGTAGGAGCACTGTTCTCTGGTGGGGTTGGTGCGAGATGATCAGTTGATCGAGGTGCTTGAACAGGTCTTGGCCTGGCTGTTTGGCGTTGTGTTGGCCGAGCAGTAATTGGTCTTTGCCCTGTTGGTGGGACAGGAGCGGTATATTGGTTGGTCGCAATTGGAGGCAATCTGGTATTTTGAGTGCTCTCTGGTTTTGTTGAAAGGCAAATACTTGGTTGGCGTCGTTGGTTTTCTATTGCAGGCATGGGAATTTTTGATTCAAACAGTCCACAATCTTGTTTTGTGCCACTGAAATTTTCACCATAGTACTTTCTTTTCTTTGGCGCGAGACTCGGTTCCCCAATAACAACTCCATCATCTCCTTCCTGAATGAAATCCATCATTATCTCTCTAGAACATTTCTCTGCTATTTCGATCATAAACTCTTCAAACTCATCGTAATACGGTTGCAGCTTCTCAGCTAGCATTTCGTCAAATGTCTTCTTTGACGGTCCGTTGAACTTTGACTTTTTCGCTGAAAGCAAAATATGTTTTGGTTCAATTATTTTATTCAACACTGATCGATGTTTAAATGAGTTTATAGCATCTTAATGGCAGATAGGGTGTATGTTGGATATTCTCAAACAGAAAACAGACGTTAGCAAGTGCGTTAGGTAGCTTGTCACTAACAGTAATTAAACTACATGTAATTCAAATAAATTAATCTTTGCTATGTTCGAACCCCGGGGTTACACCAGGGATACGCATCACAAATTCAGTTAACGTCTGAAGATTCATTAAGAACCTGTAGGAAAAGGTGTGTTTCGAAAAAAGCCACACTTTAAAAATACAAAATAAAATAATAATACAATAAAAATGAAACCAATATCATGACGTCATGGCCTTGAATTTGAGTATGACAACACTATCACGAGAAAATGTTTTACTTCTCGTCGATTAAAAATCAAAAAGATATGCCAGAGGTGTCCTTAACAAATCAAACATGCTTCGAAAAATATACGAAATTACACTCACTCATAATCAACTATCGCTTGATTATCAAAATATAGAAGAATCACTAAAGAATTCGCTTCCAGATGTATCTTTCTCTCTCTTTGTTTACCTAACAACTATTTGAAGAAATCTGGAGTGTGAGTGTGACGTCATAATAATATGAAGGATGAAAGTGAAACCAAGATCATGACGTCATGACATTGTATTTGTGTTTTGAAAGGTCGCGACAAAATTTGTGGGCATTTTCTAGTCTTTCTAAGATCAATTTAATATGTATATCAAACGCGTTCTTAACAAATCGAACGTGCTTCGAGAACAATAAGGAGATACTCACCCATACTACGCTATCGTTTGATTACTAAATATACTAAAACACTGAAGAATAACCGAATAATTTGCTCCAGTTCAGATGTACATGTATAATTGTCTATTTTCTGCTTGCTTTGATTTATGTCTTCGTTTACCTAACAACAATTTTAGGAAATCTAATTATGACGTCATGTCAACCTTCCATGTGAATGGATATCGCATCGTGGCATCATGATCTTACATTGTCTTGGAAGCGGGTCACAACTCATTCATAAAAGGTATCTCCAATTTTTTAAATTTGGTCTGGAGATGATACAGTATTATTGTGTATTTTGCGTTTTCATCTAGTTTCTCCCGTTGGTCAAAATTATTATTCATTGTCCTTATTGTATGGTTCATCGAATTTTCAGTTTACACCAGCACTTTTAATGTTAATACGTATATCATAAACTTTTGAATTATTGCAAACCTATGCATGCATCATTCATAAACATTGACCGATCAGCGAAATGATTTGATATTCATGTATGTATCAGGGATAGTAATAATTATCCCACCGAACGAATTTTGAGGGGACATAGGAAAGCCGCCCGTCCATCCGTTTGTCCGGGCGATAACTCAAATACGGGTTGACGGATTTGAATCAAGTTTTATGGGCTTATGCCTTATTGGGGCAGAACCTCTGCTAGGGAAGGAATTTTCAATATGTCCACTTATTCAGAATGGCCGCCATTTTTCGTGATGATGCCTAGGGACAAATTGATTTGTTCAAGAAAGAATTTTCAAGATGGCGGCTGAATTTCAAAATGGTCGCCATTTTTCATTAAAATTAAATCTTTGATAACTCAAATAATAGTAGACGGAGTTGTTTCAAATTTTATATGCTAATGCCTATGGACAAAGGAGCTATCCCGATGAAGAGATTTTTAAAATGGCTGCTAAATATCAAAATGGCAGTCATTTTTCCTAAAAACGTAATCTTTGACAACTCAAATACAAGTGAACGGATTTGGTTCAAATTTTATATGATGATGCCCGGAAAAGTAGAGTTGTTGAAGAAAGAATTTTTAAGATGGCGACTGAATTTCAAAATGGCCATCATTTTTCATTAAAAACGTAATCTTTGATAACTCAATCACTAGTAGACGTATTTGATTCAAATTTTATATGCTGATGCCTAGGGATAAAGGAGCTACGCTGAAGAAGAGACTTTTAGAATGGCTGCTAAATACCAAAATGGCGGCCATTTTTCATAAAAAACATAATCTTTGATAACTCAAATACCAGTGAACGGATTTGATTCAAATTTTATATGCTGATGCCCAGGGACACCGTAGCTCTGTTCGAGAAAGGTTTTCAAAATGGCTGCCATTTTCGTAAAAAATGTAATCTTTGATAACTCAATGCTAATTGACGGTTATGGTTTGCATTTTATATGTTGATGCCTAGGGACAAACAAGCTCTGCTCAAGCAAGAAATTCAAGATGGCCACTAATAATCAAAATATGTTTTGTTCGGCGGGATTTGCTACTCCGTGGAGTTGCTGTTTTTCTAGTATCAAACAAGTCTATGGTCTATTTACTTTCGATTTATATTTTCCAACTTTAACCAACCATTAGAAATATTTGTATATTGGGCTGCAGTACGATTTGAGCACACTTTGAATGTGGCAAGATACATGGAAACGCTTGCACATTGCAATCAGACAAATATAAATAAAGTATCGAAGTACGTATTATATCACTGCCATCTTATTCCACAGAAACCAGCGAAGAACCTGAACTTGATGCCAATGGACATATGTTTGATGTAAAACATACTGGATGTTGTAAGTACAAATAAACAACCTTGGCGTAGACTGTCTCAAGACATATCTTATGTAATATGTAAGATATTATATGAGCAATTAAAATGGATAATCACTAATTGTTCGGGGAAGAAACCTGGTACATACCCTCTTTAAATGACAATGATGTAATTGTAAACAATGTACCGCTCCTTCCTCTTAACCAATACACATATAACATACTGCATAATCATACAACTAAGTAACAATGCCCTAAATTTTAACTAGATTCGTTTAGGAGTCGTCTATCATCTTCGAGTAGCTCCGATGAAGAGTGTCTTGCGTGTATAGATGACAGTTCTAGGGAAGTGTGTAACATCAGTGTATCCGATCTACAGGAAATACACAAGTATGTGTTATTATTTAGATTTACAGGGTGAGTCCAAAAATGTAACCCGAACAAATGTTGATAACTCAGTCGTTCAGCATGGGTTTAGGGTCACTTTGGCACAATAACATCTTGTCCAATGTTCCTTCATTCTATTAAGTTCCATTGGCCTAATCCAAATGGATTAATGGCTTAAAATGCCAGTCTCATCTCTGGTCCCAAAATATAAAAGTCAGGAGGTTAAGTTTGGCGGGTGAGTTTGGCATGTTTTGGCTTTTTTTGGCTCACCCCGTCCTATATTCATATAAAATCAGAGAACTACACTACTTAGAATGCATATTCTTCAGAATATCAGTATCTAATATTGGATCTGATTGGCTAAGCAAGTAATGGGTAGTGTGTTTCTTTATTTTTGATGTCGCAACTGCTAACAACTATTTTTTTACATTTAAGTCTTGAAGGAGTATACAGATATGGTATGAAATGCAACGATTTGAGGTATACCATATTCGTAGAACGTGGTGCAGCCACATCTGTGAAAACGAATATCGAACGGAATTTTCCTAAGCATAACTTCATATTTGAACCATCTGACGCAAAACGTGGGCATATAGAATTAGCAGGCATTCACAAAGTAGGATCGGCATCAATTGGAACCTTGGGTGGCTTAATAGATGTAACGAGTGCAACGTCACCGAATATGAGGACATATGCATTGACTTGCCGACATGTTATCCCAATTTCAAAGATAGATGAAGACGTTTACATTTGTAACAGTGTACCTGGAAGTGATGAAGTTGTCATGAAACCTATCGGGAAACTGAGAACATATGTCGATGCCGAGGGAAGATTAGGACACGGAGAAAGACCTAGAAAACGACGTCAAACATTTGATATTGCAATGATAGAAATAGATCCACACTCTAGCATACGAAGTCAGTACCGCAAATGTACCATGGTACCACATAACACACTGCATTGCATGACAGGAGATATCAAAGTGCAGAAAACAGGTTGCAAGACAGGTTGTACATTTGGGATAATCAAATTAAAATCATGTAGTGTAGACTTCGACTATATTGATTCATATGGTAAGGAAAAGACTGTATCACTCCATAACGATATTGAAATTGCGAAGGATTTGGATAAGAATGTACAAGGATATTTCGCAGACAGTGGAGACAGTGGTGCAATCATAGTTGCAGAAAATGGTGGTCCACATAATCACGTTGCAATAGGAATGTTTACATTCTATAACAATGAAGATTCGGACAATAACAATGAGAGCAGGGCATACGCATTTCCTATATACGATGCACTTGAACACCAGTTCAGTCGCGAGCCAGGGATTCTTGGAGAAAATGTCAAGGATCTATATGCCTATGTAGGTTTATGAAGATGCACTTGCCTGTGAATTAAGGGTATAAGCCCTGGACTCAATGTGGAATAACCATTCCTTGGAGTACTGCTTTCCAAAATTTGCACGAGATGCGCAGCATCTAATGTCAATTTTAGAAAACAATGCCTGAAAATATTTTAACAGTCAATACAACAAAAATCAAACTTTACAGATTTTAGTTCAATGTAAGCTTAAATGGATTATGGAGCATTTACCTTTCATAAGAGTCAGCCAGTGTGGTATTTTATTTAATATTCAACCGGTGTCGGTTTAATATAAACCATTCGTACTGGCTAGGAGAAACATTCCGCCAAATAACCAGTACTGGTTTATACATTACACAAATGATGGATATCTACAACAGTATTATCTGGTAATGTGTAGATCATGTTCATTCATGGTAACCCATATGTTCAGTTATTTTATGTAAGTCATAATAATTCGATGAAGTTTAGAAACTGTAACACAATACAAATGGTGGCAGGATATCTTAGACAGTCTGGACACGAATATTCCTTGTTAGTAATAAGGATGAGCTATATGCTCAAAGACATTGTAATCATGTAAATATGTATTGATTTCTTAAAGCTTAGAAATGGTAAAACTATGAAAATAGTGGTGTCATATCTGAAACAGCAGTATTAAGCATGCGTAAATCTTGCTTATTTAGCGAAAGCTGTATGCCCTAACACTTTGTTATCATGAATGTATGTGTTGATTCGATGTAGTTTAGAGAAACTGTAAAATAACGTAAATAGTGGTCGGGTGTATTACGAAGTCAGTACCGCAAATGTACCATGGTACCACATAACATACTGAAGGACATGACAGGAGATAGTATTTAAACATTCGTAAATATTGCTCATTTAGCAAAAGCTGTATGCCCTAACACTTTGTTATCAGGAATGTTTGTGCTGATTTGATGAAGTTTTGCCACCCTATTTACAGATAATGATCTGAAATTAGTAAGTATACTTGCGGAGATCTTAAAAAATAAAATTATACTGATGAAAAATTATGTTAAGTTTGTAAGGTTATACCCCTTGTTTAGTCCAAGGGTTATCCAAATCAACTATATGGAGAAGATATCAACAAAATTCAACACCCTATGTGGCCTGAGCATATTGAAAAGGAACTAAAGGCTGAAAGGGGCAAAGTCAACATTCCTCTGGATTTTGTTGAAACAGTCATAGGGTCTGACATCACTTTTATTGAAGCATGTCAAACACCCTTTAGGACACCGGACTATTGTAATAATCGAAAATAATCAACTGCACATATTTTCAATGGCTTTTTGATAGCTTATTTGGTAAATTGTGTCTTAGTTCAATATCATTTATGTGAGCCATTCATCAAGTCTTTTTTATTTGCCCCGAGTCACCGGAGTTGTTGTTGCTGTGACAACATTTGTCGCAACATTTTTTGTTGTACTAAATATTTTTTGGTCATTAATTAGTCATTAATTTTTGTTCATTATTAGAAAGTTAAATAATACGAATTTAAAAATATCATTTTTATCCATGGGTGGATATTGATCATGTGTGAGCGCACAGAATGGGTGAAGATATTGATATCCATGAGTGGATATATATAATTGATGAACCATAGGATTGTCCTTTTATCCCATGGGAAATCATCATCATCAGCGAAAACACCATTAATGGAGTTGAAAAAATTGAAAATTGAGGAAAATATTGAATTTTTGGGGGAAAAATTGTTTAAAAAATTTAAGAAATGTAAAAAAGCTTGATCTTGATCCACATATCAACGTGTTATTCGATCTATATCCTTGTAAATATGGGATAAATGTATGTAAATGTACCATTCCATAAATTATCTCATTCCAGTACCATTATCCAAGCCTGTTGAACGGAATTACAAGTAAACAGAAATGAGAAATTATATTTTCAACAAATCATATGTACAAGAATTGAAAAATAAAACGTAAATTCATTAAAAATTGATTCCAGTTATGTATTAATCTTCCAAATATATTGTTTTACACTTAAACATACGTTTTTACGTTCGTACATTCTTCACATGTAGCAACGCCACTGCGTCATATTATACTTCGATATATATGTTGTCCCTGTCCTTCATTAGGTTGACACTAAACATCCGGGGCCTTTACGTCATCACTGCACGTGGGCCTATATACCCAATCAAAATCAAGCTTTCATCTTCCAAACTCTTACGTAATCCACCTGCATCGCAGCATCTTCGCCCTCCCATGTTGGGTACCAATTATTTCTTCTGAACCAGAAGTCTTTGGCTGCAGAAGAGGACGTATCGGACCAAGGTTTGCGGTATGGGGAGTGTGTAAAATCATCACTAAAGAATCCGTTGGTACCCCCTACTGCCACTCTCATGACCAGGTAGAACTGGAAATAACAGTGACTTAATTTACAAGACAAAAACAAGGCCACATTTTATTTTACAAAATGGATTTCCATCATTTCTTAGCTATAGATATTCGATTTGAGTTACCTATTTTATGTTTTTTGTTGTTGTTGCGTTCGTTATTTTTGCTGGATATGACGTCCCGGGCTCGTAGCCAGGATGGTGAAAACCTGCATAACTTTGAAATAATTTTTAGCCGAGGGGGGATTCGCTCGAACCCCTCGGACCCCCACCCCCTGAACGAGCTTGATTCTGACCGGGAGACGAAATACACTCACTGGCCTGGTTTATCAAAAGGAGCCATTTTGTTTGGACTGTTTTGCCAGGGATTTGTCTCTGAACCGAACCGTTGGTCCCATCCGCCAAAATTGAAGAAACCATTTGGTCCGGGGTCAGCAGTCATTATGCTCTCGCCATCTATCCAGAACCTTTGAAGATATGTGCATAAAACGTAAATTTTAATGTACAGAAAACGAGTTTTGCCTGACTTCAATGGTATACCAAATCACCATCTTTGGATAGAATACTCTAATAGCCATAATGCTCTGGCCATCTATCCAGAACCTTTGAAGATATGTGCATAAAATGTATATTTTAATGTACAGAAAACGAGTTTTGCCTGACTTCAATGGTATACCAAATCACCATCTTTGGATAGAATACCCTAATAGCCATTATGCTCTCGCCATCTATCCAGAACCCTTGAAGAAATGTGCATAAATTGCATATTTTAATGTACAGAAAACGAGTTTTGCCTGACTTCAATGGTATACCAAATCACCATCTTTGGATAGAATACTTTAACTTGCAGACATATAGGTATAGAATGACTGGGATTATTGAAAACGATAAACTATTATTTAATAAAATATTAAAAAATCAGCCTTTGTATCTAAATAGGTTTCATAATATGTACTTTGTCATTGTTACTCCCTGTGTAGGGGAACATGGGGCAAAACGGCCCTCTGGGGCAAAGTGGCCCATCGAAATATCTTTTGAACTATAAAAAGATGGTTCTTCAAAAGTCACAAAATCGAATTTTGAAATATCTGCCACCTTCTCGACCGTCCATTTTTAACCAAGCAGCGTCTCGCTTTACGTAAGAGGTAATTCTACTTTTCACCCTCTTTTTGGAAATTACCCCTCTCACGAGAATCTCTAAAAATCCGGCAACAATAGAATATCGTTTTGATTTAACATTTTACATAGAGTGTGCACATTTATTCTTTATTTGTAAAAATTTCGAGCTTCAAATATTAGGCAAATTAAAATGACGTCTATTTGAAAATTCACATGTCTTTGGGGCAAAACGGCCCACACATGTTATAACATACAAAAATCTTATTGTGCAAGAACAATTGGTTTTCAAATGTAACAATTTAAAAACCCATGTAACAGAGGGTGGGCCGTTTTGCCCCACCCATGGGCCGTTTTGCCCCACTCTCGACAATATTTTTGACCATTGAAAAATCACAGAAGATAGTCCTAGGAAAGTATAAAACACTCGAAAAATGTAAACCACAAACCATTAATAAAGTGGAACATCAAAGTGCGCGATGATTGACAGATACGAAAATACCCCGTACAGAACAACTTAAAATTAATTTTTTTGGGCCGCTTTGCCCCATGTTCCCTTATTCCTTAAAAACCTCAGATGATTTTGGATGAAGTGAGACATTTGAAAAACGAACATTTCATTTTTCTCATTTTCAAGTGGGTGCAAATGGATTTTCAGGTGGGTGCAATCCTTTTTTCAAAATCTCAGGTAAGTGATGCACCCACTTGCTTTAATGCTAGGGAGATCACTGTAAATCCATTTCATGAATCGGAAAAGTATCCCACTTATAGATGTGCCCCATCTTACAGGTTTTACTGAACGATGTTCTTCATAATATTGTACTAAATTACAATTCCAAAACAATATACATAATCTTAGGGTTAGTTCGGTCAATTCAAGTAACTTAGTTAACATTCGATATTCGTATGTTCATCAATATTTACTAAGAATGGTGCCACAATTGAAGTAAACCTCTGCTTAATTATTTTCAATATACCTATCAGCAAACGTGTAGATGATAATTTTGATGTTCTGTTACATATTGATGAAACAATCTTGGAGATATGGCCTAAATGTCTCTGTATACCCCTACTTCAAAAGATGTATGTTATTTGACATTTTTCATTATGAACCAACCATAAATGTATTTTTTCTTGTTTACATACAGCATGAACTTTCTGTTTTCGCATATTAAAAGATGGTACTGCATTTATTTTTTCATGAAATGGAGCAAACAAATGCGTGTCAATTTACACTGTAATATCCTTCATACTTATATTTCAAGGGTAGTTTTGAAGAATAATCAAGAAAATCCATGTTTTCAAATGGATTCATCCTTGTCAAAGAACGTAAATGAGGATATGCGGTTTTAAAAACGAACAACATGTTTCAAAGTTCTTACATTCTTGGTTAAAACAAATATTTTGAAAGTTTTGATTTCGAATGTAATCTCCTACTCAATGGTTGATATATGTGATTTTTTTTCTTTCGGAATACGCATTGCTGGATCACAGAACCTTGCCTTGCTCGAGATGCACGAAAAGTGTATTGTTCATACTTGACGTCGTTCGGATATTTGGATGTGATTGACGTTTTCGTTAATCTCCTACCACTGTGACTTCCAACTAAATTTTTGAAAGCCAAATATGATAGTCACGAATTGATATCAAAAATAGCGAGTGGTTTGAATTTTTGTTTGAATTTATAGCTTACATCTATAAATTTAAAAACATATCGCCTCATTGAGAGGTACATGCCAGGGGCGGAT